ACCCTAATCCGAGCATTAATTAATACCCCCACATTTAAAGATTTTTTTTCGCCGAGAAGCCCGCCGGAAGACTACTTTCCATTCTGGTGGATTTCGTATGGGCCAATACCACCACATTTAAAGAACATGTTTTCGGGGAGGTTCCAAAATCTGTCGGCAGGCTTCTTGTTTTGCTTGCTGAGCTGCGAAGCTACAGCACCTCAGGGATCTGCGGCCTATTGTTTTTAATAGAGAATCAATACAGGGCCACGGTCTTACTGCGGTGGGGGGGGGGGGGGGGGCCCCCCCCAATTAAACAGATGCTCGGATTAAACCCTAAACCCTAAACCCTAAACCCTAAACCCTAAACCCTAAACCCTAAACCCTAAACCCTAAACCCTAAACCAGATCTGAGGGTTCGAAGGCTAAGGGTTTCAGGCCTGAAGACTTTCAGGGTTTAGGGCTTCGAGATTGATTTCAACAGCATCGACCACTACCCGTGAAGGAAGCACTGAGAACCCTCAGATCTGGTTTAGGGTTTAGGGTTTAGGGTTTAGGGTTTAGGGTTTAGGGTTTAGGGTTTAGGGTTTAGGGTTTAGGGTTTAGGGTTTAGGGTTTAGGGTTTAGGGTTTAGGGTTTAGGGTTCCGAAACCAGCAATGGCGTGCCTCCCCGCCCCCCCCCCCCCCACCCCCTCCCTCAAAAAAGAAGAAGAGCAAAACAAAAGCACGCACGACCAAGTAAAAAAAATGAAGCGCAATGTACATAGTTGTACAAGCATGTACATGTACAGAAACCTGAGACAGAGACACATACTTAGTTGCTGAGTTCAAAGGCCCCAAAGAGTGTACACTTTCAGTGCTATAGGGGATTATAGTATCCCAAAAGTGTAAGCATAACTACATGCTCCTTTCGTATGGGCCCTCATTTCGGGGAACCCTGATCAGAACCCTTTAACGAAGGATATTCACGGCCCATGTAACTTCTCACCCTGAACCCTAAGCCCTAAACCCTAAAGACGCGTAAGTAAGGAAGGTGACCGAACAATCGAAACCTTGGGCCTTGGGGGTCCCGACGTGCTGCCACGAGCAGCTCGACGAGTTGTGCCTGTCCTGGTTTGGGTTTAGGGTTTAGGGTTTAGGGTTTAGGGTTTAGGGTTTAGGGTTTAGGGTTTAGGGTTTAGGGTTTAGGGTTTAGGGTTTAGGGTTTCGGGTTTAGGGTTTAGGGTTTAGGGTTTAGGGTTTAGGGTTTAGGGTTTAGGGCCTAGGGTTTAGGCTTTAGGCTTTAGGCTTTAGGGGTTCAGGGATTTAGGGGTTTAGGGTTTAGGGTCTAGGGTTTAGGAATGGTGTTGAGGGGTGAAGAGGTTTAGGACTTAGGGGTTATGGGGTCTGGCACGGGAGGCTTTCTGACCCTAAACCCTAAACCCTAAACCCTAAGCCCTAAACCCTAAACCCTAAACCCTCACAGGGCTTGGTGATGCTTAGGGGGCCTTCGTTTTTAAGTTGCACTGACGGGGTTCATGGGTCCCTTGAGGTCCTCCCCTCATCGCATCCTTTGGCTTCTGGCGTGCTTAGGGTTTAGGGTTTAGGGTTTGGGGTTTAGGGTTTAGGGTTTAGAGTTTGGGGTGTGGGGTTTAGGGTTTAGGCTCTAAACCCTAGACGGCTGTGGGGCAGACTCCTGTGACACCGCAACCCCTGCACAGCTAACTACCTCCTAAGCCCCGACAACTCCAAGCTTCTCCCCCCCCCGAACCCCGAAATCCTACGCTTCGAGGAAGAAGGCCCAAGAGTAACCTAGGAATATGATAACGGCCTACTCTGGGTCCTCGTAACCCTAAACCCTAAACCCTAAACACTAAACCCCTAAACCTAGGGAAGAAGGCCTGTCTTTGCCGCCCAGTGGAGTGGGATGGCGCCACCTCGGCGCAACAGGCTCAAGAGACAGGGTTGGGGCCCGGTCTTGATGGGCTTGTTTGGCCCCTGAACCCTAAACCCTAAACCCTAAACCCTAAACCACGCTTGAACGCTCCCTTAGGGACACGATAAAGACACGTGGATGTAACATCAAAGAGCCGAAGCGGATGGAACAAGACACGCACCCAGGTTAGATTCCTGAAGCCTAAGCCCTAAAATCCCAAAACACCCTAAGCCCTGACACCCTAAGACCCCAAAACCCTTAAACCTCAAACCCCTGTGAGCCCAAAACCCTATTCCCTAGAACCCTATATAAACCCCTACACCCCTGAAACCCTAAACCCCTAAACCCCTAAACCCCTAAACCCTAAACCCCTAAACCCTAAACCCTAAACCCTAAACCCTAAACCCTAAACCCCTAAACCCCTAAACACGAAAACCCTAAACCCCTAAACCCTAAACCCTACCCCCTAAACCCTAAACCCCTAAACCCTAAACCCCTAAACCCCTAAACCCCTAAACCCCTAAACCCCTAATCCCCTAAACCCCTAAACCCCTAAACCCCTAAACCCCTAAACCCCTAAACCCTAAACCCCTAAACCCCTAAACCCCTAAACCCCTAGACCCCTAAACCCTAAACCCCCTAAACTATAAACTCTAAATCCTAAACCCTAAACCCCAAAACCCCTAAACCCTAAACCCCCAAACCCTAAACCCCTAACCCCTAAATCCTAAACCCTTAAACCCTTAAACCCTAAAGCCCTAAACCCTAAACCCCAAACCCCTAAACACCTAAACCCTAAACCCTAAAGGAATCCAGGGCTATCTTCTCAACTCTTGGCCAAAAACTTCGATGCTGCCGGCATGCAGCTGTTCATGGCGTTGACGTTTGCTCCAGCTTGGAGTAAGACCTGCGTTTAGGGTTTAGGGTTTAGGGTTTAGGGCTTGGGCTTCTGAGGGTTGAGGGCTTAGCAATCAGAATTCAGGGTTGCTTGAAGATGCTCGTCATGGTAGAAAGCAACTGCGCAGCATGCGGAGCCAGGTATGTATCCACGATGTATCCTACTTGTGGGATTTTACTACTTCTGGATATCATAGCTTATTCCCTTCTCGCGATTGTGCTATTTTTGTTTTATTATCATTTTTATTCCTGTTTTTTTTGGGGGGGAGGGGGGGGTGCAGCTCAACAAAGGAGGTCTGCATGAGCGGCGTGACGTGCTATCAGATATGGGATAGTGCTACTTGCCATACACCAAGAAGGTAAATCCGGGGCATTCTTACAATAATTTCTATTCCCCAAAGTGTGTCAACACCCAGGGATTCCTACGTAGAGAGAAAGGGGGGGCTATGTAGATCTATGAAGCCACGCGGTGCCCCCGGCCTAGGACGGTGCATGTTCTCAAAGCCTGCTCGCATTTTGGAAGAAAATCTCGCGTTCTCGCCTAGGGTTTCTGGGTTCGCCAAATCCGATCCTGTCGTCGCTTTCGGACGTCTGCGTTTCTCGAAATGCGAACCTTTCGTCACTTTGGAACGTCTGATGGACTCTACTAGGAGGTTCATAGTACTTATTAACCAATTGTAACTGTACGTAGAACCCACTTAGAAGCCCCTTAAGTGCCCGAATATGGTTCCCTGAACCTCCAAGTAGGCCGGATGCGAGCTACATCCGGCCCCACGACGTCTGCGACTTTCCGACTCATCTTGAAGGGTTTTAGGGTTTAGGGTTTAGGGTTTAGGGTACCTAAATAGGGAAGACTTGGGCCTTAAAGTACCTCCTATTCAGGGACTCTAGGGCCCAAGTACACAAGAATGAGGTACATGGATCTTTCGGGGTAGTTTTATGTTACCCTAAACCCTAAACCCTAAACCCTACACCCTAGAAACTATAAACCCTAAACCCCAAACCTTAAACCCTAAACTTGGGGTGATCTCGGTCTATTTTTGCTTGCTCTTTGGTGTCCCCCACGGACTTCACTGTTTGGGGTCTACGCTGCGCTGGCATAATCTTACAAAAATTGCGAAACGACGGTTTAGGGTATAGGGTATAGGGTATAGGGTATAGGATTTAGGGTTTAGGGTTTAGGGTAATCCCCAGACCAGGTCCAGACAGCCTCGACTGTCTCCTGGATTCCTTCAACGGCGGCAAAGTGAAGCGGTGTCCTGGACAGGTAGCACAGAGCCTAGAAGGGTTTTAGGGTTTAGATTTTAGGGTTTAGGGTTTAGGGTTTCGGGTTTAGGGTAACATAAACTACCCCTAAGGGTCCATCTTTTAGACCCGGGAGGAACCTGGGAATAAAAAGGGTACCCTTTTTGGTTTTAAGGGGATGATAAGGGAACCCCAACCCTAAAAAAAGGAGAAAAAAAGGGCCTACTCCCGGTCCTAGCATATTAGGGCTTCTATAGGGTTTGAGATCAGTCCCCAGCCCTAAACCCTGAAACGCTAGGGTCTTGGCTGGCTGCGAACCCATCAGACTTAGGGTTCAGGACTCAACGTAGGAATGCTGGGTTCTGGGCTTCTTGATCCCAGAAGGCGCGCGCGCTTCTAGGAACGAAGAGAAGACCGTAGCCACCAAGCCCTAAACCCAAAACCCTAAACCCTAAGCCCGAAAGCCCCTTTGGGATGGAGGTTTCCTCCTGGTGTTGTGGAGTCCTTTGCCGCATCGACCCCGGGGATGTTAGAGACCCTGAACCTTAAACGTTTAGGGTTTAGGGGTTTAGGGGTTTAGGGGTTTAGGGGTTTAGGGGTTTAGGGGTTTAGGGGTTTAGGGGTTTAGGGGTTTAGGGGTTTAGGGGTTTCAAGACCCCGAACCCTTTTAGCTTCATGACGGTGGAGCCCAGACGAGGTGTGCAGTGTGTCACGCCTTTTCTCGGACGGTGTTGGGCTCACCTAAGGAAGTCTTCCGGCCTTGGCTGCCGAGTTATAGGCTGGTATACGAGTTGCGGGGCTCACATACCCTAAGGCTCCAAATAGCCCAAAGTAGGTACTATTTACAGACTTTAGACCCCAATGTAGGTATTATTTATGCACTTGGAGCCCCACCAGGGAAAGAGGATGCCGATATACAAGGGAAGGCTAAGCTTGCTCGCAAGTGGCCGTTCCTCCATTCTCCCTACAACGACCCTGCCATCTCGTCGTCCTTCCAGGCGCCTACGTAGATGTTTCCGGAGGGCCAGGTGAATGTGCCAACGCCATCTTTCTTGCCGTCCTTCCAATGGCCATCGTACTTCGCCCCGTTGGCGAAGACCATGAGCCCATTGCCATTCATGGTACCGAGTTTAAAATGGCCCTTGTAGGTTCCTCCGTTGGAAAATCGATACGTTCCGAAGCCATCTTCCAGGTTGTTCTTGTAGGAACCTGAATACACAGCTCCCTGGGCAAACCTCAGCGTGCCCTTTCCATGCTTTTCGCCGTCCTTCCAGTCACCTTCATAGGCGCTGCCATCAGGGGCCTGACTGCTGCCTCTTCCATTCGGTTGCCCGTCCCTGAAGTCGCCCTTGTATACATCACCAGTGGGCCATTCTGCCCAGCCCCAGCCGTTCTGGCAATCCCCTTCGACGCAACTCCTTCGTGGGGCTTCGCTCTCCAGTACTTCTTGTTGCCTGCTGCACGCCTGTCCAGAAGTGGCGCTGGGCAAGCCCCTGGAGCAGTCGAAGCACATCACGCGCACCCTACGCCCGGCTAGGTTTTCCAAGTGATACTTCACAGCAGGACCGAGGGCAGAACTGCAAGTGCCCTTCACGTCATACACGGTGAAGACGGGGTTCCACTCGGGATTTTTGCGTAATGATTCGGCCATTGACAGAAGCTCTGCCTGCCACAGAATGGATCTGTACAAGGACCATCGCCCTGAAAAATCCTTGTTGACGGCTACAAGAACCTTGGAGGTATGGCGTTGAGACATCGCCTCAGCCAATGCGGTGGAAGCCACCCGCCAATAGTTCATCTTGATGCGTTTCGAAGGGCAGGCGTCCAGTCGGCTGACGCCCTTGCTCTTGATCATCTGGCCCCACTGAGTCTCTTCCTTAGGACTAAATGAAGCCCCTTGACATTTAACATACCCTATGCTTGTACAACCCTCCGCAAGAACATGAACCGCAATCCTTGCAGGTGTACATCCACAAGATTCTAGCTGGAAACCGTTCACGGACCGAATGAATTCTTCGAGGTGGGTCTTCTTGCCAACCCCCGACGTGTCGTTGTTGTGGAATCCAGCCCAGAAGACGGGCTGCTTTCCACGGTCGAACAAGTCAGTCACAAGGGACCACTGCCACCATTTCACGGATTGGAACTGCAGGGTGTCATGAGCATCCTGAACGCAAATGATTCCATCCAGCTTCTCGCAAGCCGACGCGATTTTGGCTCGTAGAGCATCCCGCTGCGCGGCACACTCATCGTGTGCAGAAGCATTGTAGAAGACTGCGCCTGCAGGGCAAACTGCAAAGAGGGCCAACGTTCATGTGAAGTAGGGTTTATATTCCTTGTACTGCGGACTCGAGGTCGTAAATCATATCAAGGTGAGACAGCTTAGAGTAGGGTTTATATTCCTTGTATCCCCGAAAGGACACCTCACATATGCACTCACAAATATTCAAAAGGAACCTTATATACACTTACCAGTAACAGTAAATTACTGTTACTAAATATAAACCCTGCTTCATGTCACCATCTCCTACTTAAGGCGCATGACGCTGCTGGGCCTGCGTCCCGCTTCTCCGCATCCTGATGCAGGGAACTATTTAGGGTTTGGGGTTTAGGGGCTTAGGGTTTAGGGTTCTCTGAATCGAATATCGAGCCTGATTCTCTGTGAAGACCGCGACGTCACGCACCTGTCCAGAAGGAAACGGTACGGTTTAGCTACAGCACCTGTATCACTGTACGGCTACCACAACAGCGCCGGAAGGGGAATTCAAGGCATCCGACAAAACAACGTTGAGTTCGAGAATGCGAACCCGTCAATGCGTCCTCGTGATGAAGCGACTTCAGTCAACGTCCTGCAGGTAGCGAGAAGCCTTTCTCACATCCTACTAATTGCTCAAGAACCCAGAAGAACATGAAATATTATTTCTTATTAAGCTTAATATAGGGATTTATTGTTGTTTTTATTCTTTTGGGGTTCTTAAGCAAACAGTAGCATCTATGCAGACAGCCTTCAAGCCCGAGGACGACGTCCGGTGCAGGAGGCTTGATGTAGCCTGCCCCGCATGGAGAACTATACCGCTTGGTCCAAGACAGTGGAGTTCATTCCCTATACTAACTTAGGTTTTAGGGTTTAGGGTTTAGGGTTTAGGGTTTAGGGTTTAGGGTTCAGGGTTCAGCCCAGGGTCGAGGGTCCAGGGTCCAGGGCCAAGGGCCCAGGATCACCAACAGGAACGAAGCCCGGTACGCGTGTTGAGCCTGACGATTCTCAGCCAATTGCAGAAGTTTCTCGAGCCCTAAACCCCAAAGCCCAAAGCCCAAACCCTAAACCCGAAAGCCTAAACGGCAAGCCCTAGCCCAGCCTGCACTGTTGGACCTTCTACTTGCCGCTGCCGATACGCCAGCGAAGCTGGCAGCAACAAGAAGGCCAGGACGCCGGAAGAACAGAGTTTGGCCATGTGTAGGGTTTAGGGTTTAGGGTTTAGGGTTTAGGGTTTAGGGTTTAGGGTTTAGGGTTTAGGGTTTAGGGTTTAGGGTTTAGGGTTTAGGGTTTAGGGTTTAGGGTTTAGGGTTTAGGGTTTAGGGTTTAGGGTTTAGGGTTTAGGGTTTAGGGTTTAGGGTTTAGGGTTTAGGGTTTAGGGTTTAGGGTTTAGGGTTTAGGGTTTAGGGTTTAGGGTTTAGGGGGTTTATATAGGGTTTAGGGTTTAGGGGTACTACCCCCCTCTACCCAGACCCCTGGGAGGATTCCCAAAAAATAGAGCCCCCAAATAGTACCCTCTACTATTGGGTCATTCTGAGGAACCTTTCAGGGGATCTTTTTTTGGATCCTGCCAGGGGCCTGGGTCTGCCTCGAGGAAGGACCCTACCTCAAGTAATCATCAAACAAACGTTGGGCTGAGACTCAGAGCAGTCGTGGGCTTGAGCCTGAAAAAGGTGTGACTGCGCGTTCCTGTGACCCAGACCCCTGTGGGAGGATCCCAAAAAATAGATCCCCTTAAAGGTTCCTAAGAATGACCCACTAGTAGTATAGGGTACTATTTGGGGGGGTACCCTCAACCCTAAACCAGAAAACCCTAAAACCCTTTCTACTTTTTGGATCCTCCTGGGGTTCTGGGGATCGATGGAGCCTAGGCTGACCTTCAGATGGTGGTTGTTCTCTGAGACAAGCATGGACATGCCAGGGCTGCACCGGTAATTGTCATGGCCTAGGGCCGGGTTTAGGGTTTAGGGTTTAGGGTTTAGGGTTAGGGTTTAGGGTTTAGGGTTTAGGGTTTAGGGTTTGGGGTTTAGGGGTTAGGGTTTAGGGTTTAAGGTTTAGGGCTTAGGGGCAAAACTCCTAGAATTCAGGGAGGTTTGGGAATGCCAGGCCTCCGGGCCAGAGTTTGCGCATTTGGGTCGGCCCTGGCAGCCAGGAGGACTTGCAGGACCTTTCCAGAGCATCTAGGGTTTAGGGTTTAGGGTTTAGGGTTTAGGATTCAGGGCTTAGGTTTTGGTGCTGGGTTGCTTGGCTTGGATCGGGCGTCGAGTCGACGCGGGTTGTTTTTCGCACTGGAACAAGGCAGGCTTCCGTGGGGGTGAGTGTTGATACAAGTGTTTAGGGTTTAGGGTTTAGGGCTTAGGGTTTAGGATTTCGGGTTTAGGGGTACTACCCCCCTCTGCCCAGACCCCTGGGAGGATCCAAAACATAGAGCCCCCAAACAGTACCGTATACTACTATTGGGTCATTCTTAGGAACCTTTCAGGGGATCTATTTTTTTGGATCCTCCCAGGGTCTGGGCAAGGGGGCTTAGGCCTGTAGGGCTGGCTCTGAGTAGGGAATTGGGGAATTTTGTCGCTTGTATAGCTCACGAAAGGGTCGCAGAGGATCAGAGAGGGGGAAATCGGGTACCAAATTCCCTTAAAACCACGAGCCGCGAGCCAGCAGCTTTTGGGTTTAGGGTTTAGGGCTTAGGGTTTGGGGTTTAGGGTTTAGGGTTTCGGGTTTAGGGTTTGGGGTTTAGGGTTTAGGGTTTGGGGTTTAGGGTCCCTTTTTGGGTACCCATGATAAGGCGGCACCCGCATAATAAGGACCCCCCAAAACGGACCCTTTTTTGGAGAACCCCACTCTTTGGGCTACGGGCTAAGCGATCTTGAACAGGAGCCGCATGCTGGCGATAACCCTAAACACTAAACCCTAAACCCTAAACCCTAAACCCTAAACCCTAAACCCTATTAGAAGTTCGGGATGTAAAGAAGTCAGAGAGAGCTTGCCATGGGTTATGGGTAGAGTTTAGCTTGGGATGGTCCGCCTTGGTCCTAACAGTCTTTAATAGGGATTACAGTAGGGGTACTATAATCCCTGTTACCCAGACCCCTGGGAGGATCCAAAACATAGAACCCCCAAACAGTACCGTATACTACTATAGGGTCATTCTTAGGAGCCTTTAAGGGGATCTATTTTTTAGATCCTCCCAGGGGTCTGGGTAAGGACTCTTAGTAGAAGGGGGGAACATCCCAACGTTCAGGTTTAGAATGCAAGCTTCCTAATTGCACCTGATCTACTCAGACATTCAAGGCTCGGTCCTAAACCCTAAACCCTAAACCCTAAACCCTAAACCCTAAACCCTGAACCCTAAACCCTAAACCCCAAACCCTAAACCCTAAACCCTAAACCCCCCAGCTCTTCTCTCCCGGAGACAGCAGGAGTTGCTCTCAATGAGGGTTGTTAGGGCTTGGGGTTCAAAACCCCGTTTGGGGGGGACCTTCGAGTTGGCCTCGTGCCCTAAACCCTAAACCCTAAACCCTAAACCCTAAACCCTAAACCCTAAACCCTAAACCCTAAAGCCTAAAGCCCTGAACCCTACACCCCCACGCAAATCCTAAACTAAAAACTCCAAACCCCATAAAGCTTCAAGCCCTCTGTCGAACGTCCCACGGCCTCCACTCCCCTGGCGTGCTCTGCCGCCAAGTGCACTGCCTCCGCGGAAAAAATTGGCCGTTGCGTTCCCCAAAAGACCCAAAACCCTACATACTCTTAGAAAGGCCGGAGCAAAGGAACCCCCCAGTCGTCATTCGGGTTCGGGGTTTAGTATTTGGGCTTTTGGGCTTTGGGGTTGAGGGTTTAGGGTCTGGGGTTTAGGGTTATAGCTTGTAAAAACTTGGCTTGCTGAGTTCATCAACCCCCCAAAAAAGTGTAAACTGACAGTTCTAGAGGGGATTAGAGCCTACCTCTGGAGTAGACCCAGAAAAAAAGTATATACTTTTTAGGTATAAGTAGCTATAATGGGAACCCAAAACCAAAAAAAGTATTAAAGTATAGTACTCCAAAGCCCAGAGAGTGTCCCAGAAAGTGTAAAGAGTGTACTCATTCAGGACAGGTCTTCGGGTAGGACAACAATGTCGGCCCAATCAGCGGATCTGCGATGCCAAAGGTCACCTACAAGAAGCCCAAATGCTGGAAACACCCACGTTCGCCCAAAGAGCCCCAAAGTGGCTGCCCCACATTCCCAAAACGTGCAAACATCAAGCCTAAAAACCCTAAACCAAAACCCTAAACAATAACCCTAAACCCTAAACCCTAAACCCTGAACCTAAATCCTAAACCCTAAACCCTAAACTAAACCCTAAACCTTAAACCTTAAACCTTAAACCTTAACCTTAAACCTTAACCCTAAAACCTTAAACCTTAAACCCTAAACCTTAAACCCTAAACCCTAAACCCTAAACACCTAACACCCTAAACCCTAAGCCCTAAGCCCTAAGCCCTAAACCCTTTTTGTCTCTCCACTTCAGGCGCTCTTCTGGCGCGCGCCCCACAGTGCAAAGACCAGGCGCAGGAAGCCGGCCTTCTTGGGGGCTCAAAGGCTTAGGGTTTAGGGTTTAGGGTTTAGGGTTTAGGGTTTAGGGTTTAGGGTTTAGGGTTTAGGGTTTAGGGTTTAGGGTTTAGGGTTTAGGGTTCAAAGAGGGTTTAGGGTTTAGGTTTTAGGGTTTGGGGTTTAGGGTTGAACGCCGCTGCCACGCTTGACGAGCTCCGCATTTGGCCTGAGTTTCCAAAGCTCTTTTTGCGAAGCTAGGGTGTTGCTTGCACTTTACTTTCCCCTCTCTCCCTCTCTCTCCCTCTCTCTCCCACTCTCTCTCCCTCTCTCTCTCTCTCTCTCTTACTCTCTCTCTCTCTCTCTCTCTCTCTCTCTCTCTCGCTCACACTCTCCGAAACTGAAAGGCCGACCAGCCCTTTGAGATAAAAACCACTACAGGGCTTTTGGGGCCTTCGAGGGCATTAGGGCTTTCGGGCGTCCCCAGTCCATTACCTTGAGGGATATTTCCAGGGGGCGGGGGGCGGGCGCAGGTACAACCCAAAAAAGGCTCAGAACCTTAAAGCCCCCATTTCAAATCCTTAAAGCCGAAACCCTAGACCCCAAAGCTCTAAACCCTAAACCCTAAACCCTACACCCCAGGCCCCAAACCTCCAACCCTAAACCCTAAACCCTAAACCCTAAACCCTAAACCCTAAACCCTAAACCCTAAACCCTAAACCCTAAACCCTAAACCCTAAACCCTAAACTGCCCCAAACGCAATCTATGCTATGAACCCCTCCCGCATCACCCGGCCTGCACGGCCAGCGAAGCCTCTGGCATGGACCCTTGAGATTCCCGACTCATCTACAGGGTTTAGGGTTTAGGGTTTAGGGTTTAGGGTTTAGGGTTTAGGGTTTAGGGTTTAGGGTTTAGGGTTTAGGGTTTAGGGGTTATCGGGTTTAGGGTTTAAGGTTTACAGGGTTTACAGGTTTATTGGGGTTTACAGGGTGTTTTTTGGGTGCATAGGGTGTATGGGGTTGGAAGGTCTTTGAGCTTTAGGGTGTAGAGTGTTAGGGTTTCAAAGGGTCCAGGTGAGGGCCCGAACCTTCGAAGGTCTGAAGGAGGGAGCCTTATAAGAGACCCTGGGGCTACTCGTTGGGATACTTGAGTGTGGCGGGGACGATAACTGGCGCGTATATGTGTGCATATATATATATATATGTATACACATCTACAAGTTTACGTATATACATCTACATCTACATACATACATATATACGTATATACATATATATATATACATATATAGACATATCCTATAAAGACGGGTGCAGGGCTTCAGTATTTGGGAAGGGAACTAAACCACCCCCCCCCCCCCCCGTCCCACCCTTTCCCTAAACCTCCAAAGCCTGAAGTGCTAGTTTTACAACTTGGGCCCTATATAACCCCCTCCCCCCCTTGCTTTGTCCCCCCTTGCTTTGTGGTCCTTCTCAGAGCAGGCCTTCTAGTTCGGAGCCCGTGAAGGGAAATTTGCCCCGCTCCAGGGTCCCAACACCAATAGATCCATGGACCTTGAACCCTACACCTTCACCCAGAACTGCAGTACGAAATCCAGGGGCAATCTAGGAATACAGCAGGGGCACCCTTTTTGTGGATGACGGGGGCTGACGAGGGAACCTAAACGCTTAAAAAAAAGGAAAGAAGGGGCCTACTCGGTTCCCAGATAGCCTTAAACCGTAAACCTGGCACCAAACCCTAAATCCTAAACCCAAAACCCTAAACCCTAAACCCTAAACCCTAAACCCTAAACCCTAACCCTAAACCCAAAACCCAAAACCCTAAACCCGAAACCCCAAACCCCAAACCCCAAACCTCAAGCCCGCCCACCACAGCGTGGAATCGCTATGCAGCCATGCACAAGCAAGGAAGCTAGTTCTCTCCTTGAACCGGTCCCTTTTGATAAGCCGTATTCTATGGGGACCCAAAAAGGTTTAGGGTTTAGGGTTTAAAGGTTAGGGTTTAGGGTTTAGGGAGAACGATTCAGAACGATCCTTCTAGCCCTAAGGGTCCATGTACCTATGTAGCATATACTTGGGCCTTAAAGGGAGCTTTCGGGCACCCAAGTATATACTACATGGGTACATGGGCCCTTTGGGGTGGCTTCTGGTTCTGACTCTGCAGAACCCTAAAACCCTAAACCCTAAGCCCCAAACCCTAAACCCTAAACCCCAAACCCCAAACCCCAAACCCTAAATCCCAACCCTAAAGCCCGAGGCGCAAACCCTAAACCCTAAACCCCAAACCCCCAACCCTAAACCCTAAACCCCAAGCCCTAAACCCTAAACCCTAAACCCCAAGCCCTAAACCCAACCCCAAACCCTAAACCCCAACGGTCCCAGAATGATGCTTTTCGGCCCAGAAGCTGCCATGGCAGTGAGAAGGAGCACTGCAGACCAGGCTCGACACCAGCTGCCCGCCAGCAACGGTAGCCGCTCCTTACGCTGGCTTAGGTGCTGTGGTTCGGGCGCAGATTTGCGGATTGTTGGGATTTAGGATTTAGGGTTAGGGTTTAGGGTTTAGGGTTTAGGGTTTAGGGGTTTAGGGTTTGGGGTTTGGGTTTGGGGTTTAGGGTTTAGGGTTTCGCAAACCCACTCCCCCAAGCCCGGCCCGAAACAGCCGACCCTAGAGTCCCTACCCAAGCCCTAAATTCCATAAACTACCCGAAAAGCCCCAATCCAAGCCCTAGATCTCGACCCTGAACCCCATCAGCTCTGTACCCTGAAAGCTCTAAACCTCAAGCTCTATAAGCCCACGTACGAATGGCCATTCTAGCCCTAAACCCTAAACCCTAAACCCCAAACCCTAAAACACCCTAAACCCTAACATCTCAGGGCGCTGAAGCCAAGAGGGCCGCGGAGGCTGTTGACGCCAGCGGGAAGGTAAACGCCACCTGGTCAGCTGCAGGGGTTGTAGGCTTCGTAGGGTTTAGGGTCTGGGGTTAGGGCTTTATAGGGTTTACGGTTTTGGGGTTTAGGGTGTAGGGCGTAGGGTTTGGAGTTTAGGGCTTCATAGGGTTAGGGTTCAGGGGTAGGGCCTCATAGAGTTTTAGGGTTTAGGGTTCGGGGGTGTGGCTTTGTAGGGTTTGGGGTTGAGGGTTAAGGGTTTAGGGCTTGGGGCTTAGGGATTAAGGAGGGGTTTAAAGAGTTTGGGGTTTGGGGTTTGAGGTTTGGGGTTTGGGATTTTTGGTGTTTTGGGTTTGAGGGGGTTTAGCGGTTTTAGGGGGCCTACAGGGTTTCCAGGAATTTCGGGATTTGGGGTCCTAGGCGTTAGGGATTTCGGGCTTATAGGGTTTTCGGGTTGTCGTGGGTGGATGGTTTTCGTTTTTGGGTCGCTTTTGTAGCTCTTTACAAATTAGTTCGGATAGGACAAGAGACCCCTTGTTTTGAGAACCGCCCCGCCCCCCCCCCCCCCCCCCCCCCCCCCGAAACTCTACCCGGGGATCAAGGTTCCGCAAGTACGAGTCCCTGACCGAAACCGACACTCCTCACAGCATAAGAACACTTTCCCAGACCCCTGGGAGGATCGATCCCCTCAACGGTTCCTAAGAATGACCCACTAGTAGTATAGGAACCTTTTGGGGGGTCTATTTGTTGGATCCTCCCAGGGGTCTGGGTTGGGAAACAACAAAGGGTTTAGGGTTTAGGGATTTGGGGCTGCTCAGGGTTCCTGGGTGCGTTCTTAAGGGTTGGGGCCTGGCCCTCTCGGGCAAGCCCTGAGTCCGGGTCGCTCCGGGCCCGTATGGACTGTGCAGCGTAGGTTCTCCTAAACCCTAAATCCTAAAGCCCTAAGCCCTAAGCCCTCAATCCTCACCCATAGTTAGAACCCTACACCCGAACCCTACACCCTAGAAAAGGCCCGATCAACCCGACAGTCTTACGCCCTGCACCCAAAGCCCTTGCAGTCAAGGTTAGGGTTTAGGGTCTAGGGTCTAGGGTTTAGGGTTTAGGGTATTTCGGGTTTTAGGGTATTTAGGGTTTAGGGTATTTAGGCTTTAGGATATTTAGGGTTTAGGGTATTTAGGGTTTAGGGTATTTAGGGTTTAGGGTTTAGGCTATTCGGATATGCAAAGCAGGTCACGTAAGTCGGGTGAAAGGCGGTGATCCAGAGCTTCCTCCTCGCCACGGCAGCTCTACGGGCGTTTCATTTTGGCGACCCCGTGCCTGCCTATAACTTTGTACCCCAGCATCCATATGTTTAAGAAGAACTTAAGTTGGGGTTTAGGGTTTAGGGTTTAGGGTTTAGGGTTTAGGGTTTAGGGTTTAGGGTTTAGGGTTTAGGGTTTAGGGTTTGGTAAGGGCTTAGGGTTTGGTTTAGGGCTTGGGTTCAGCAAGGGGGCCCTTTCTGACAACCCCGCACCCCCCGTGGGTTTCGGTTGAAGGGCTTCTAGCTTGGTATAGGGCGTAGGGCTTGGGGTCTAGGGCTTCTCTGAGGATTTTCGGTTTGGTGCTCTGGGTTTGGGTACGCATTTAGGATTTAGGGTTTAGGATTTAGGGTTTAGGGTTTAGGATTTAGGGTTTAGGATTTAGGGTTTAGGATTTAGGGTTTAGGGTTTAGGGTTTAGGGTTTAGGATTTAGGGTTACGCTGCAGGGTCCCTAAGCCCAATTGAAGTTTGGGAGCTGCGGAGTATCGGGCTTTGGGACCTGAGGGCGGTAAGTAGGGTTTGGGGTTTGGGGTTTGGGGTTTGGGGTTTGGGGTTCAGGGTTTAGGGTTTAGGGCTTAGGGTTAGGGTTTAGGGTTAGGGGTTAGGGTTAGGTTAGGGGTTAGGGGTTAGGGGTTTAGGGGTTAGGGGGGGGTTTGGGGTTTGGGGGGTTTGGGGTTTGGGGTTTGGGGTTTGGGGTTTGGGGTTTGGGGTTTGGGGTTTGGGGTTTGGGGTTTGGGGTTTGCGGTTGACACGGACTTGAAGTCAATGCGATCAATATAAGTGACACGGCTGATGCTTTAATCAGCATGTGTGGCATATCATGCTTCCAGTTTGGTGATGATGTCATTCAATTTTGCACACTGTTCTTGTAGGACTCCCAACCAAGCGTTTGTCTCTCGCTGAGACAGCTTTGAGGGTTTATGGCATTTTCGAAGGAATTTTTCGGATTTAATCAGGAAATTAAACCGAGCATGGCAAAAGTGGCACGCTATGCCCTGGCGCTTCCACTCAGGACAAGCAACGTGAGGAACTTTGGTGATATCAAGATCAATATAATGATTAGCGTCAAGAATGTTCTGTCGCATCTGGAGCAGTTGATTGGGGTTTGGGGAGCTGTGAGGCTTGCCACCCTGAACCAGTGCCCGGCGTGGCATGGTCAGTTTTCCACACCATGGCCCCCTATTTTGGTGGGTGCCCTAAACAATAAGCGGCGCGATGGAAGAGGGACAGCAAAAAAGAGCAACTGAGCAACTGACTAGATCTTTACCTGCACGGACCCTAAACCCTGCCCTAACCCCCTTGGCTACCTTGTAAAATCTCCTGAGCAACCCCATAAAGGTTTACCCTTGGCCCGTTACTTGGAGGTTCATGTACTTATTAACCAATTAAAACTCTACTTACAACCCACTTATAATGAGCCTCTTAAGTGCCCCGACAAGGTTTACAAGTACAGTTATAAGTACAGTTATAGTTGGCCAATAAGTACAATCCACCTCCAAGTACAGGGCTGTACTTGCCCTAAACCCTAAACCCTAAACCCTAAACCCTAAACCCTAAACCCTAAACCCTAAACCCGAAACGCTAAACCCGATGTCCGGTGCGCCTGGAGTAAAGCAGGCTTACGGCCAGAAGGAAGGACACCGTGCTGTCAGCAAAGAGTAAGTAGCCCGTGATGTCGCCCCCGGGCTTGCCTTAGGCTTTGGGGTTTAGGGTTTAGGGTTTAGGGTTCCGGGTTTAGGGTTTAGGGTTTCGGGTTTAGGGTTTAGGGCGAGGGAACCCTAAACCCTAAACCCTCAAGTCTACAGGGCTTGTCGTGCTTAGGGCCCGAAGGGTGAAGAAGGAAGACTGGCGTGGATGTGGTGAAGGTGGGGCCCCCTCTCGACTCCCCTCCCTTAAGGACCCACCAGTCCGGTAGCCCTAAACCCTAACCCCAAAACCCTAAACCCTGAACCCGAAGCCCGAAACCCTAAACCTTAAACCCGAATCCTAATCCCTGAACCCCAAGCCCTATGAACCCTGACTGGTATGAACCCTAATGAACCCAAATGCACCATATTGAACCCTATGCACCCTATGAACCCTTCACCCCTTCTCACAGAAGCCCCAACCCAGTGAAGCCCGGAGCCAACTACACCATGGAAACTTTCAACACCCTAGAACCCGAACACCCCTAAAAACCTTTACAATCCTCAGCCGGAAACTCCCCCCTAAACCCCCTCTAAACTCCCTAAACCCTAAACCCTAAACCCTAAATCCTAAACCCTAAACCCTAAACCCTAAACCCCCCAAAACCTCAGCTCTGCAGCTTGGCTACCGCTGCTGAGGTGCGCCATGGTGTAGAAGGAGGCCGGAGCCTCTCCAGCAGCTTAGGGTTTAGGGTTTAGGGTTTAGGGTTTAGGGTTTAGGGTTTAGGGTTTAGGGTTTAGGGTTTAGGGTTTAGGGTTTAGGGTTTAGGGTTTAGTTTAGGGTTTAGGGTTTAGGGTTTAGGGTTTAGGGTTTAGGGTTTAGGGTTTAGGGTTTAGGGTTTAGGGTTTAGGGTTTAGGGCTGTTTTTTCGCTAAGGGAGGGCTCTCAGGATTTAGGACCGTTTGAAAGCACTGAACCATGAGCCGTAAGCCAACGACTCTAAACAATAAACACTGCCAACACGAGCCTTATTTCTCCAAGCAGCCCTACCTGGGACCCTCTTTACCTACAGTTTTGTGGGAGTTATACCTACTAACTAAGGGTAGATACTGCGAAGTTACGAAAATTGGGCACCCTTAATATAGACCCCCCAAGTAGTATAGGAGCCCCTTATAGTAAGGATCCCAGTATAAGGTACCCTAAAACCTAAACCCTAAACCCTAAACCCTATCGTAAGCCCCCAGGTATACACGGCTGTTGGCCCGGGGCCATGAGGGCGGCCATGCCGGCGTGTGGCGCCACGGCGTCCCTGCTCTGAGACAGGAAGAGACCTGAGGTGCGGACTTCAGAGCTTAGGATGCTTCCTGCCGGTTCTTAGTAGGGAAGGAGGGAATGAGGGCCCCATATATATATATATATATATTATATCCCTTTAAGGGATGATATAGGGCCTGACCTCAGGTGTGCGGAGTTCCGGGCGTAGGATGGTATATCTGGGGCTCTGTTTACCTGCAGTTTAGCAGAAATCTGCCCTGAATTAGTAGGTATAACTCCTATAAAACTGTAGGTAAAGAGGGTCCAGGAAAAGGGTCTTGAGGGTCTTTTGGGCTTTGGGGGTTTAGGGTGTCAGGGGGTAGGCTGTACGATTGAGGGTTGAGACTTACCCTAAGGGTCCATGTACCTAAATATGGAATACTTGGGCCTTAAAGTACCTCCTATTTAGGGACTTTAGGGCCCAAGTACACAATAATGAGGTACATGGACCCTTAGGGTTACAGTTCTAGCCTTTGGGGTGTCTGGCGTGGTGTGTGGTTTCCATGGGTTTACGAGGTTGCGGGATTAGACCCTGGAGTTCTGGGTTTGAGTCTTTCTCGGGTTGGGGCGTTGTACCCCTAAGTACATACTTGGACCTCAAAAGGGGTTCCTATACAGTAGCTTTAAAGGGGCCAAAATATCTATCTGGTGCTTTCCCTAAGCTATGGCCCCCTTTGGGGTAACCCCCTGCCAAAAAAAGAAGAAGGAAGATAACAATCCCATTGCCCTTATACGGAAGAATATTTTCGATTGGGGGTTCTTACGCAATATAGTAACTACAGAATACGGCACCCCCAGAAACAGGACCCCCCTCCCTCAAAGGGCACGAACAACAACAGCAGCAAGAATCCTGAGGCCTGAAACTTCACAACTTTTACAACTTTTGACCCGAAAAACCCTAAACCCTAAACCCTAAACCCTAGACCCTAGACCCTAGACCCTAAACCCTAAACCCTAAACCCTAAACCCTAAACCCTAGACCCTAAACCCTAAACCCTAAACCTAACATAGCCGGGTGGCGGTAGAGAACTGTGAGCTTCATCGGCACATACCTTCGCTTGCTGAGCGATTTCGGCAGGGCTGTGGGGGTTTAGGGTTTATAGTATAGGGTTCTAGGGCCTTAAGGCCTTTTACGGCTTGGGGTCCTTGAGTTGATCTGTACTCCCCTTAGAACCTAAATAGAATAATGTGCTTAATATCCTCTTGGGTTTTATATGAACAAAAAATAATTCCCAAGAGAGTTTTAGAGTTTAGGGTTGAGGGTTGGAGGGTTTTGGGGTGTAGGGAGGCACGGCTTGAGGCTAGAGGCTTGCTGGATTGGGAGCGTGGGGGGTAGTCTGCGCCTTTTCCATGTTCACCCAGCCTATACCCTAGAACCTAAACCCTAAACCCTAAACCCTAAACCCTAAACCCTAAACCCTAGAGTCAACCCGATTGCATTCATGAGTCTGGAGAACCCAGCTAGCTCGGACTCCAAACTTAAGCTCAAGAGCCAAGAATGAACCTCGTTCCGCATCGAAAGTTCGGCCCGGGTTCAACCGGTTTAGGGTTTTAGGGTTTAGGGTTTACCAACCCTGGTTGAACTAACCCAGGCTGGACTCCGAAGCAGAAGGCGAACAGAGTTGGAGCCTGGAAGGTACCTGGCCACGAAACTTGCGGAACCTAGGCAAAACAAGTAATCTAGGGGTTGGAATAATTACTCATGGCATTCCCTTATGGTCCTTTTATAAAAATACTGTAATAACCCCGCCCCCCCCCCCACCCCCCGCCCCCCAAAAAACAATAAAAAATAAAAAAACATTCTAGTTATTAAGGCCCCTATATTACAGAGGGCTGAGTCACCACTTAGCTTGACATCCTAACCCGAAACCCTATACCCTGCTGCCCAAGGAACAGCGCCATGGTGAACCAGAAATGGAAGGGCATTGTTGCCTGACAGCATGGCAAGGGGCCCGTTTGGGGTCCTACATATATATATATATATACATATATATATATATTTCGTACGGCACCTTTTGCATAAGAGACCCAAAAGGGACCCTAGTTTACCGGGCTACGCACATGTCAGTTCAGGCCGCTTCGCCTCAAAAAGGCAAAAGAGAACCCCGTTCGTTGCGCAACGGGGTTTGTAATGTGACCCTGGGACTGTATTTGCCTACAATTTAGCAGTAGCTACCCTTAATTAGTAGGTAGAACTCCCATACAACTGTAAGGGTTCCAGGACGAGATTCCAAACTTGATTCCAAACTTCAAACTCAAGGGACCTTACCCCAAACCATGGACCCAAACATCTACCACCTCAAAGCACTTGCTGGGATCCGAAGTGACCTAGCAGCAAAGAAGGATTCCTGCTCAATTCTGGAAAACCCTGAAAGGGGCCATAATCTAGAGAATCGCTCTTCTGTGGCTTTACATACAGGGCTCAGGGTTTAGGGTTTGGGGCGGTTTAGAACACCCAAACCCGAAGCCCCCAACCCTACACTTCCACCTGCAGCCAGGGCGGGCCCACGGCGAAGGAGGTGACATTCGTCATACCGTACATGAGGATACCTTTTGGCAGGTGCAGAGTTTAGGGGGGTTGGGGGTTTGGGGTTTATGCGTTTACGAGTTGTGGGTTTCGGCACCTCATGCCGAACCCTAAACCCTAAACCCTAACCCCTAAACCCTAAACCCTAAATCCTAAACCCTAAACCCTAGAAACCCTAAACCCTAAACCCTAAACCCTGGAAACCCTAAACCCTAAACCCTGGAAACCCTGAATTTGTTATTAGCATAACTGGCAGCATTCGGCTTTGCCCAGACGCCTGGAAACCACGAGGGATCAGGCAGCAGCCGCTTCCTGAGCTGGCAAAGGAAGTAGGGTTTAGGGTTTAGGGTTTAGGGTTTAGGGTTTAGGGTTTAGGGTTTCGGGTTTAGGGTTTAGGGTTTCGGGTTTCGGGTTTAGGGTTTAGGGTTTAGGGTTTCGGGTTTAGGGTTTAGGGTTTAGGGTTTAGGGTTTAGGCCAAGCTTCGAGAAACCTTTGGGGGTTCTACCTTCGACCCTGAAGGTTGTAATCTTGGGTTTTGGGGGTTCCCCTTTTTGAGGATCCACGAATGTAACATAAGGGCCATATTGGAGTAGTATAAGGACTCAACAACGAACAAGGATTGACAATCTCATCTTGGGACGTTCCCCCTGAGACCAGTCTTCGATGGGAAGAAGAGTACCCCCTCCCCCCCCTACTAGAATCCCTATCAAGGACTGTTAGTATTTTTATAAGGGGAAACATCCCAAGTTAACAATCTCATCAAGCAAAACAAAACGAGCTTCAGTTTCCGAAAGTAAGGGACCCGAATATAAACCCCCCCCAAAAAAAATAGTAGGATTCCCTTAGAATCAGGACCCCAAAAAGGGTACCCCCTAATTTCGGAAACCCTAAACCCCCACATACCCCAAAAGGTACCCGCCCCCCCCACCCCCCCCCCCCCACCCAATTTCGGAAACCCCATGTCACCGTGACATGGCATGATTGTGAACGAAGATGGGCATGAGATGTTTTCAGTGGCTGCTGCCGGAGCTTCAGGATTTAGGGTTTAGGGTCTTCAGTCCGAAGCCACGAAACCCTAAACCCTAACACCTACAGTAAACGCCCAAAAGTTGGAACATTCATTATCCTCATACCCCAAGAGGGTTACTCCAGGGAATCCCAGCCCTTAAACCATGTTCCAACTTTATGGCGTTTACTGTAAACCTTAAAGCCCGTTTCGACTTGTTTGAGTGGGGTGCTCCACATCCTCAGTGCCGTCCTAGGCATTCTGCCGACGTTCTTGCCCCGGCTACCATTGGGTTTAGGTTTAGGGCCATTACCCAGACCCCTGGGAGGGTCCAAAAAATAGAGCCCCCAAATCGTACCCTCTTCTACTATTGGGTCATTCTTAGAAACCTTTAAGGGGATCGTTTTTTTTGGATCCTCCCAGGGGTCTGGGTAGGGCCTTGGGTTGTAGTGGTGGTCTTTGGCGGACTTTGAAGACGAGGGTGAACTTTTAAATGCAAAGGACAGGCCCTCCCGCAAAATTGGAGCCCCACACCCCTTAACTCCCTCAACTCCCAAAACCTTAGAAACCGAACCCCGCACCCCCACACCCCCAAACCCCAAAAGACCCCAAACCCTAAACCCCAAACCCTAAACCCAAAACCCCGAAGCCAAAGTGCTGGATGTTGAGCATCACAAAGCGCAAGCTGCAGCAAATCTGAGTGGCGTGACAGGCCAGCCTGAAGAGATCAAGGCGTGCTCTTCAGAAGATCGCGAAGTCCCTAACCCTAAACCCGAAACCCTAAACTCTAAACCCGAAACCCTAAACCCTAAACCCGAAACCCTAAACCCTAAACCCTAAAAAATCTCTGGTGGGGTTTGGATTGTGGTGCGTCTTCTATACTGTTCCCAATGGGTCCATGTACCCATACTATCATATTAGTATATACTTGGGTTTAGGATTTAGGGTTGTTGCTATGCAGTAGCTTGAGGGCCCAAAAATCTACTATATGGGTACACTGGCTCCTAGGGGTTGTCAAAGGTGGTGAACGGGAGAAAAAGCTTCAGGTTTACGGTTTAGGGTTGAGGGTTTAGGGTCCTAGGGTCTTAGGGTCTTAAGGTTCTCGTCTGCACGACGCGTGCGGCTAAACCCTAAACCCTAAACCCTAAATCCTAAAACTCAAACCCTAAACCCAAAACTCTAAGCCCTATCACAGTATTTGGGGGTTTACGAAAATAGGGACCCTTAAAATAGACCCCCCCAAAAAGTAGGATTTCTTTTATGCTAAGAACCGCAATAAGGTACCCCTAATTTCGGAGACCCCAGGTGTGAAGCAGCATCTGCATCTTTACATCCGACCCTACATCTGTCATGTCTAGACCATGTTTTACTTCTAGACTTGTTGTAGTCTCTGTCTCACATGCCGTGCAGCATGGCACCTGCAAAGCACAATAAAGTACAGTACAGCACAGCTCGGTACTCATATACAAGTACAACACTTGTGGAAAGACATGTGGACAGTTACCTAAGTTATGCTTCCTTTAGGGCTTCGATTAGAATACTGAGTTATCAATTCAGCGGCTTCTGTTTAGGGGTGCTTTAGTTCCGGGCTTTGGGCTCATGACTTTGGATTTAGGGTAAACCCTAAACCCTAAACCCTAAACCCTAAACCCTAAACCCTAAACCCTAAACCCTAAACCCTAAACCCTAAACCCTAAACCCTAAACCCTAAACCCTAAACCCTAAACCCTACAAGCCCTCTGGTCTCCCGCTCCAAAACCAGCCTACGAGCTTCCTGAGCTCGGACGCAGTAGCACCTCCAAACCCTAAACTGCAGCACCCCGGAACCCACGTTGTCACATGAAACGCCGGACCGAAGAAACCCCTGAGCCCCTACAGCCCTAAGCCCGTAAACCCCTGAGCCCCCAAACTCTAAAGCCTAAACCCTAAACCCTAACCCTGAGCCCCTAAACCCTAAACCCTAAACCCTAAACCCTAAACCCTAAACCCCTCAACTACTCAACTACCCAAGAGCCGCAGGCCGAGCTGCACCACAGCCTGCACTGCGCCCAAGGGCAAGAACCCGTCGGTCAGGTGCAGCCGTAGCGCCAGCACCTACGAAACTTGGCTACACTCAGAATGGGTAGGTAAAAATTAAGATTTTAGCTGCCTTATTAAGAAACCCAAGAAACCCAAAAAGGCTAAAGATGTAAAGTTACAGTAAAGCACCTGCGAAAGAGCCGCTCAAGGAACCAAAAAGGGGACCGCTGTTTCGGGGCGCCTGCCGTTCAGGGGTGAGGGGTTTAGGGTTTAGGGTTTAGGGTCGAGGGTCTAGGGTCTAGGTTTTTTGGTTTAGGGTTTAACGTTTAACGTTTAACGTTTAGGGTTTAGGGTATAGGTTTAGGGGTTAGGGAAAGAAATTTGAAGGTTTTGGGTTTGGGTTGAGGGCTTTGGTCGGTCTTGTGGGTTCTTCTGCTGGAAGTTGGGTTTAGGCTTAGACCATGAAGGTTTAGGGTGTCAGGGAGCTTAGGTGTTTTAAAGCTTTCTCGGCAAAGAGGGGCAAGACCCAAGCGTAACCTAGGAAGCAAAGGGGTGCCCTTTGTGGATAAAGAGCCTTACAAGCGAACCTGAACCCTAAACAAGGGAGTAAGGGCCTACTCTGGGTCCCTGTAACCCTAAACCCTAAACCCTAAACCCGCGATGGTTGAGGGTTGAGGGTTTGGAGTTTGGGGGGCTTTGAGGTGGAGTAGTGTTAGCAGGCGCATGAGCCTGGATCAGTGGGTGTGAACGAAGAGGTATCTTACAAAATGCTGCTGGCTGGGTGCCTCACAGTCCTAGCACCTAATCGCCAACCGTTGCCAAACCAGGTCCCTTGTAGGGTTCCAGCATAACATTGCATCTGTACACAAAGAGGGGTCCTTAGGCTTAAAAATGCCCCGAACTGCACCCTATGTACCTTTAAAACCCTGACTGAGCAGCACTGGTGTCATCTCACGCAGGGCCTGAATCGTGGCCGGAGCCGCCGCCACCGCCGACATCGTGGCCTCCGCGTAGCGGGGGGGGGGGCGCTCTGCCATTTTGGGGGTGTCCGAACATAGGGGAACCCCCATTGTGGGGGTCCCTTTCAAAAGAAGCGGAACCCTATTTTGGGAAGCGCCCATTGGGGCTTGGGGATTTCGAGTTCTGGGTTTTCGCCTCCAAAACACCACAAACTCCAAACCCTAAACCCGAAACCCTAAACCCTAAACCTCACAGACATGAACCCAGCAGTTTCAAGTTTTACCTACGGGGATGCTCAGGTTTTTGGGCCTCTCTGGGGATTGGGACTCCTGGCTCAGCTGTTGAGTTGGGGCTCCTAGGTTTTCTTCGGGATCCGGGGGCTCAGGGAAGACTCAACCCTAAACCCGAAACCCTCAACCCTACACTCTAACCCTAAACTCTAACCCTGAACCCTCAATCCAAAATCTAATCCCTGAACCGCACACATGGTCAGACCAGGGCGCTTTAAAGACCAAAGCTGGGAAGTCTTGAGGGCTTTGAGGTTTTGAGTTTAGGGCTTTGGGGTCCCTGACCTTAGACGTCGGAACTCCGCAGCCCTAAAGTCCTTAACCGGCAAAACGCTTTAGGGTTTAGGGTTTAGGGTTTAGGGTCTAGGGCTTAAGGTTTAGGGTTTAGGGTTTATCGGGCCTAGGGCACCCTAAATTCGAAAGCCCAAACCCTGACTGATCCCCTTAAAGCCCTTGAATCCCCCGGCCGGTTCGGCAAGGTCGCGACGGAAGGATGCAGTGGCGCCGACTATCTGAAGGCACGGGCAAGAATTTCTAGACCCAGGAGTAACCTAGGAATAAGAAGGGCACCCTTGTTTGGTTTTAAGGGGCGTATCAGAGAGCCCCAACCGTAAAAAAGAAGTAAGGGCCAACTCCGGGTACTAGCTTGGGGTTCTCGGGTCTAGGGGAAAGCTTGCAGAAGTTGGTGGATCTGGGTTCCGAGTTGTGATCTAAATGTCGGCAGAGGGTCTAGGGTTTTGGGTTTAGGGTTGAGGGTTTAAGGTTTAGGTTTCAGGGAATGTTGATGAAGCCCCTTGCAGCAACAGGATGTAACTAAGAACACCGACATATGCGCTCACCAAAAGCCATGATCAACAAACAGAACAGGGCGCCGGGTCCCTAACCCTAAGCACATCCCCCTTATACTAACAGCCCTTTGAAGGGACTCTAGTACCCGATTTTAATCCTTATGAAGGCCTCTAGGTTACCCTAAATTCCCTAAACCCCTACACCCTGAGCCCTGAGGGTGCGGGGGCGACGTCTGGAAAAATCAGACTCAAAAACCAGCCTTCGTCGCATAGATGCACAAGTAGATGGCTGCTGCCTTGCCAAAGCAAGGGATACGCTAGAACGCGCCAACGCAAGCGGTTAGGGTCTGAAGTTTGCGGGCCGGTACTTGGAGGTTCATGGTACTTATTAACAAATTATAACTGTACCTATAACCCACTTATAAGCCCCCTTAAGTGCCCTAACATGGTTATAAGCACAGTTACAAGTACAGTTATAATGGGTTAGTAAGTACCATGAACCTCCAAGTAGGGTTTCGGGACCCGTGAGTCGAGAAGGGAGGGAGAGGCAGGCAGAGAGAGGCAAAGAGACTTAGGGTTTAGGGTTTAGGGTTTAGGGTTTAGGGTTTAGGGTTTAGGTTTAGGTTTAGGGTTTAGGGTTTAGGGTTTAGGGTTTAGGGTTTAGGGTTTAGGGTAAAGGGACGGCAGCAATGCACCATCCTTTACACCCCAGACCGTCGATTCAGGTTCAAAGAAAGCCTGTCTTTGCTCACCTGTTGCAACATGAACGAAAATGAACGAAAATGAACGAAAATGAACGAAAATGAACGAAAATGAACGAAATTAAAACAAAGAAGCGTCGAAACGAAACCGACGAGAGGCATTTTGGGATTTGGTTTTGATTTTTGTGGTTTCTCTGGGGTTTAGGGTTTGCTCTGTATTTAACTGCGATTCTCTCCGTACTCCACTCGGACAACCTCGTTTTTGTCTAGAGTTTCCTAGGGAAACGTTTATTCCTCTATATTTAAATAAGAAGCACCCAAGACCCCAAAATTCAAGTAGGGGAGCCTTCTTTTCTCTAGGCTTTCATCGGAAAACATCCATCTTCTCTACGTGTGAACAAGAAAAACCTCAATTCTCTCCATATTTTGCTAGGAAATCCTCTTTTTTATGTTATCAGGGGAAACTTGTATTTCGATTCAATTGGCAATTAAATCTCTATGTTCTCTATGTATAAACAGAAGCCTTCTGTGAATTTTCAGAGGAAAACCTTTAATTGTCGTTATTTACGAAGACCTTCGTTTTCTTCGTATTTTCTCTACGCTACAACAGGACTGAGGAGAAGGCAAGGCGGGCTCCTCAGACCCCGGAGCCCAAACCCCAAACCCGCAAACCCTAAAGAGCCACAACCCGAGGACTCAACTTGATCAGAGGCGCGTGGCCGGGGCTCCCCACCCAAACCTGAAACCTGTATAGGTCCCTACACCCGAAAACATAAAACTCTAGATGCTAAAACCTCGACTCGGAACCAACTACCTACACCCGGAATCTTGCAGCCGAAGCGCACGCCTCCTTTTTCGCTGGCCCAAATTGCGGGCTTAGGGGGTTTATAGGGTTTAGGGTTTCGCACGCCTAAAATGTAACTCACGGCGCCACAGGAGCAAGACACGACTTGCCAGCCAAACTCTAACGCGCGGAAACAGAAAAAGACAAAGCATTAACTTGCCTGCGCTGAATCACACTGCCTAGCGGTTGCACTCTAACAGCCTTCACATGCTCAGCGACGCATTGCGAGCGTCTTGGTTGTGCATCACGTTGCACCTAGAGTAAATTCCGGCTTGACGTTTTCCGTTTGTCTATAGCGTTATAATGAGGCTTGTTTAAGCCCGGTACTGTTTAGAAGAGGCCTATATATGCAGTAACTCTTCAGCAGGGCCTGAGAGGCTTGCAGCGTAGTGGTTAGGATGGCAAACATTGGCCCTCGGCAGCTGCCAGTGATGAGGACTGCGTCGGCAAAATTAGCCGCCCTGGGCCAGGGATTGGGGCACCTTTGCACTCGCGCTGGCCGCGGATCGCCGCCCGGCAATTCCTGAAGAAATAGCGGAAGGAGTAAGCGCACCCTCGATATCCACTCTATGACGCCCGCGCAGTAGCAATAGCAAAGGAGAGAACGAAGAGAACGCGCCTTCGGCTTTCGGTTTTAATCACGCCCTATTAGTCATAATCTTTCCGGGGAATCTTGTAAGCACCTTTTGGTCCTTTTCAATCGTAACTTCAATGCTAAAACACGCGCATTTGAAAATTTCATACGTTCGATCGCTCATTGTATTCCGAAAACCTAAACCCTAAACCCTAGACTGGCTATAAAGGATCGAGGAGCCTCCCGGCGTGCCCCACTCCCACTTGGGTGTGAGCGGCGGAGGGCCGGGCGGTTTGGGAGGTGTGAAGGGAGACCCCGTATCCTAAAAAGGCAAGGGCAAAGGCAGTGACCGTGGGATCATGCAGATATCACGCAGCGAAGCAGCCTGCAAACAGGCGACTCTCGGGCTCGGCATGGCGGCAGCAGTGCCTGGAAGAGCTCGGGATAGATTTTGTCAAAGATATACAGAAGGTTTGTTTTTTCTTTGGGGGGGGGGACAGTGTTTTCCGGTTTTATATACTCAAGGCAAGCAACCCACACCTGATGGTGTCACCGGCATCTGCACCATGGCCCCGGCTTTGGATCCTGCACGGCACATGGATGGCTGTTTTAAAGTTTATGTCTGATGCAATTTAATGAAGTCAAGAAGCCGATGCCCTTGGGTGTCGTCGGCACCATCCTCGCCACAGCCGGTGCCACATTGTATCCTGAAAGAACTGGACATTTTTGATTTTTGATGGGGGAGATTTGGGTTTGTGTTACAAACCCTAAACACTAAACCCTAAACCCTATGGTGTCAGTCAAGCAGCTTGATGGCGGTGCTTCAGGCGCTCTCGGCTCCTGCCTGCAATATTGAATTGACGCATGTAGTTGATTCTGTGCAGTTGGCCTCATGTCCAGGCTTCAAACCAAGCGACTGTTCAGGGGAGGCGTCGTGGGCATCAGAAAACTTTGGGAGCCCGAAGGTCTCAAGTGTCCAGTGCGACATTTAAGTCCAGCAGCCCCCTGAAGCTCTAATCAATGACCAGGGCATGATCATGTGCGTGGTAACTGAAGAGTTCTCCAGGCCTGGGTGATCTCGCGACTACTGTGACGCCCGGTGTCCCAAAGAAGCCATGTCGTGGCGTAAATAATTAGGGCTTAGTGTTTAGGGTTTAGGGCTTCAGGAGGGTTTAGAGTTTAGGGTTTAGGTGGGGGCATTGGCAAACACAATGCTCGCATGATTGTGCTTTGAAATAAGCTTGCACGGCTGAAAAAAGGGCGGGCGGGGGGGGGGGGGCGGAGGGAGTTACGGGGGGGGGGGGGGGGGGGGGGTGGTCGGGAGGGCCCGGGAGGGGGTGTGGTCCTTCCGTGCATGCGCGGAATGATTGCTTGGACTCAGCCCGGAAGATGTCGCCCTTCCAGCATACCCCGCGCGAAAAAGCCTGCCGCAGGCCCGCACAGTCGTCCGCAAAGCAAACGACCGGCCGCTTGGTAGCGTTGGCAAGCCGGATTGCCTCGTTGCATTGAAGCAAGCTTGCACGGAATTATAGAAATTTGTATGAGAAAGTGTTCTATAATCAATCGAAGAAAAAACAAGGCATAAAATATAATGAACGTGATGTAAGGCAAAATAAATCTCATATCAAAAAAATACGATACAATACGCTACCATACTGCCATACAGTACAATACAATGCAACACAAATCATCCAATCTCATATATATAAAGCAGATAAGTATGTAATAAATAAGAAGTATTAAAGTATTTGTACAGTATGTAATAAATAAGAAGTATTAAAGTATTTGTATAGTATGTAATAAATAAGAAATAATAAAGTATTTGTATACTTTATAGTACAACATTAGATAATATAAAACTAGATGTGCATAAAACAACATATCCTGTGCAATGTATATATATACATATATATGTATATATATATATATATATATATATATATATATATATATAATTGTATATAAGATATAATAGATCAGATATGATATCATATAAAACGAAAGATAACACATGAACATATAGAATACAATAGATCGTGCAATCTCACATGAAATCATATCATGAATTAGATTATCCATCTCAGATGAAATCACATCATCTATAAGATTATCATATAGCAATGTTCTTTAACACGCTAAGAAGCCAAAAAACCACAGGGGTGTTAAAGCCGAAAAGCCAAAAAGCCAGGAAGCCAGGAAGCCGGGAATCCAAGAAGCCACAAGGCCAAAAGATTTAGGTTTTTAGGGTTTAGGGTTTAGGGTTCAGGGTTCAGGGTTCAGGGTTTAGGGTTTAGGGTAAGCCAGGAAGCCGAGAAGCCCGGAAGCCAAGAAGCCGGGAACCAGAAAAAAAGATGTTTTCCTACCAAAAAAATGAGAACGAAGAGGTTTTCCTATGAAAAACAGAGAAAATGAAAAATACGATTGATGCTTTCCTAACGTGAGATACTGGCAGTTCTCCTACTGAAATATAGAGAAAATAGAGGTTTTCCAAAGCCCAAAGACCTTAAATCAAAATTCAAAAAAACCAAAAAAACAAACACGCACCTTCTTAGGGTTTATGGTTTAGGGTTTAGGGTTCAGGGTTCAGGGTTCAGGGTTCAGGGTTCAGGGTTCAGGGTTTAGGGTTCAGGGTTTAGGGTTCAGGGTTCAGGGTTCAGGGTTTAGGGTTTAGGGCTTAGGGTTTAGGGTTTAGTGTCCCAATCCCCCACCCCTCCCCCACCAGCGAGAGTAGCGCCGCCAATGGCGACAGGACAGGCGCAAAGGCAGCGAGGCCTGTGAGGTGTAGGGTGTTGGGTTTAAGGGTTTAGGGTTTAGGGTTTGGGGTTTGGGGTTTAGGGTTTAGTGTTTAGGGCTTAGCGGGTGTAGGGTTTGGGGCTTACCTGCGACCCTCTTTACCTACAGTTTTATGTGTTTTACCTACTAATTGAGGTTAGTTCCTACTAATACGTAGGTAAGGAGGGTTCCAGGCAGGGTTTAGGTTTAGGGGGTTCAGGAGTTCAGGGGACTTGGGTTGAGGGTTGGGATGAGGAACTTCTCAGGAGCTGTACACAGAACTTGAACTTTCATAAGATCATCACGGGAGCGTGAACATGCCGCCGATGATAGTATGCCCCCTAGCATCCCCGACCGGCATCTTTGAAAGTCCCCAAACCCAAGGCACAACCTTCAACCCCCAAATCCCAGGGCCCGTAGGACTTCCCTCCTGCAGGGATCCTGACCTAGCATTCAGGAGTAGGGTTTCTTTGTGGTTTTGGGGACCCCTAAGCCCTAAGCACTGAACCCGAAGCCCTAAACCCTAAACCCCAAACCCTAAACCCCAAAACCCTAAACCCTCAACCCTAAACCCCAAACCCTTGCGGTCTAGGGAGCTAAGGGCTTGGGGGTTGGGGGTCCCCTAAACCCTAAACCCTAAACCCTAAACCCTAAACCCTGAACCCTAAACCCTAAACCCTAAACCGGAGCCTGCCTCGAGCCAGGCCCGCTGTGCCCAGGGCCAGCGGGCAGAGCTGCGGTGGCAGACCTTCGGGTTTGCGTTTAGGGTTTAGGGTTTAGGGTTTAGGGTTTAGGGTTTACGGTTTAGGGTTTAGGGTTTAGGGTTTAGGGTTTAGGGTTTAGGGTTTAGGGTTTAGGGTTTGGGGTTTGGGGTTTGGGGTTTGGGGTTTGGGGTTTGGGGTTTGGGGTTTAGGGGTTAGGGTTTAGGGTTGAGCGTTTAGGGTTTAGGGTTTAGGGCTTAGGGTTTAGGGCTTAGGGTTTAGGGCTTAGGGTTTAGGTTTGGTCTTTGGGTTTAGGTTTTAAGGGGGAGAAGCGCTTGGGGGCTAAACCTTAGGGGTTTAGTGTCCTTGCTTCCAATGCGCTGCGGAGGCTAGGGTTCAGGAGATTGTTGTGTTTGAAGCCTTTTCAAAACCCTTAGGGTTTATAGGCTTTATAGGGTTTCTAGGGTCTCTAGGGTCTCTAGGGTTTATAGGGTTTATGAGGGCTTGGGGTTTGGCGGGGTTAGGTCTTCGGGGTCTCAGGTTTTGGAGTCTTCGAGGGTTCTCTTCAAGCCCGACAAGCCTACCCTGCCAACCTGGCCCAAGTCGGCGCACCGAAAAGCCGTGAGCGATGTTACCCCAAACCCTTAACTACACCCTACAAACCCGAAGTCCTATAAACCCTAAACCCCCCAAACCCCACTGAACCCTAAACCCAAAAGCTCCGGGTTCTTCAGTCAACGTGCTGTTAAGGGTTTAGGCTTTAGGGCTTAGCGTAGAGGGTTTGGTCCCACTACACTAATGCAACCCTTCAATGAAGCTTAGCATATGTATGGACCGTATCTACCTCCAGGTAGCCCCTAAACCCTACACCCTAAACCCTAAACCCTAAACCGGATTCCAGCAAAGGTCCATCCTTCAACCGCATAGGTCTTGCAGCCATGAGAGTCAAGCAGAGGTGCGGCGCCCAGTGTCAGTAGGGCTTAGGAAGCAGTACATTGTAGAATAGCAGGATAGAAAGAAGAGTACGATAGCAGAATGATGAACAGATAGGGAACTATAGAGCACGGTTGAGAAGGCTTAGCTCTCAGGGTCCATGTACCTAATTAGGGAATACTTGGGCCTTAAAGTACTTCCTATATAGGGACTTTGGGGCCCAAGTATATAATAATGAGGTGCGTGACTCTTAGGGTAATGTTTAGGGCCTATAGGGTCGAAAGCCTCTTTCAGGCCGGGGATGCCCCCTGTGCCCTAAACCCTAAACCCTAAACCCTAAACCCTAAACCCTAAACCCTAAACCCTAAACCCTAAACCCTAAACCCCAGTGCTTTGTACCAACCCTCAGCCTTCCACGGCAAAGGATGCGCGGAGGCCCCCGGCGCCGCCCGAGACTTTGGGTGCCTGGCTATGGGATGGGGGAGTTGGGAGCCTAGTGTTTCGGAATTCGGGGGGTGAGAGTTAGGGTTTAGGGTTTAGGGTTTAGGGTTTAGGGTTTAGGGTTTAGGGTTGAGGGTTGAGGGTTGAGGGTTGAGGGTTGAGGGTTGAGGGTTGAGGGTTGAGGGTTGAGGGTTGAGGGTTGAGGGTTGAGGGTAGGGGGCAGAGGGCTTCGAGTTTAGAGTTTAGGGTGTTTTGGGGGGGTAGCTTCGGGGATTTCATGGCTTGCGGTGGGTGGGGCGGACCCTCCCACTACCCTATGCCGGCCTTGCTTTGTTCAGGGGGGGTAGTTAGGCTGAGATCGCCTGGGGGGAGGTACCTAATTTTCGGGATTTAGGTCTTAGGGTGCTTACTACCAGTAGCAGCCAAAATCTTTTGGTTTCAGAGGGGTATAAGGGAGCCCAAGCCCGAAACCAAAAAGGGAATAAGAGCCAACTCTGGGTCTTCGGCTAGCTCTTAGTTGGGAAAGAGGGAATGAGGTACCCTATATAAGCCCTTAAAGGGTATATAGAGGTACCCTATAGAAGCCCTTAAAGGGTATATATAGGGTCCTAACTCGCCCATGCCTGACTGAGAACTAGGGGGGATTGCGCCTCAGGTGGCTTCTGGGCCGCTTTTGGCGCTGGCCCACCTGCAGATGTTTGAAACTTGTGGGGGTTACAGGCTTGGAGCTAAGTAGGGTGGAAGGTTTAGGGTGTAAACCGGTAAGAGTGTTTTTTTTTTTTTTGCGGGTGCTTTTTTGCTGTGGGTGCGGGGGCGCGTTTTTTTTTTGCTGCGGGTGCGGGGGCGCGTTTTTTTTTTGCTGCGGGCGGGGGGCGCGTTTTTTTTTTTTGCTTGGGGGCGCGTTTTTTCTTTTGCTGCGGGTGCGGGGGCGCGTTTTTTTTTTGTTGCGGGTGCCGTGGGGGCGCCTTTTTTTTTTTGCTGCGGGTGCGGAGCGTTTGTGCTGTTTTCTCTATATTTTACTATGAAAACCTTTATTTTCTCTGATTTTCAATAGGAAAACCTCTTTCTCCTCTATATTTGAATAGGAAAACCTCTTTCTTCTCTATATTTGAATATGAAAACCTCTATTTTCTCTACATTTAGCATGAAAACCTCGAGTTTTTCTAATTTCTCTATACTTCAATTCGAAAACCTCTATTTCTCTCTATTTTATAACTAAAACCTCTATTTCTCTCTATTTTTGTCTATATCGTCATAGTTTTCCTCTATATTTAATGAGGAAGACATGAGAGAGGAATACATGAGAAACTTATTCTCTGTGTTATCTCAATATGTGACTTGCAATTAAAAGTGTTTTTGTTCCTCTTGTCCCAATTTTAATAGGAAGCCCATTATTTCCTCCGTCTCTGAATAGGCAAACCTCCATTGTCTTAACATTTGAACATGAAAACCTCTATTCTCTATATTTGAATATCAAGACCTCTACATTTTAATATGAAAACACTTTGTATTTTCGCTATATTTTCGTATGAAAGCCTCTATTTCCTCTATGTTGTCATAGGAAGCATCTAATTTCTCTATATTGTATAGCGAAAACCTCTATTATTCTATAGTTTCTTATTTTGTCAGTATTTTCAGACTTCTTCTCTTTATTTCACGAGGAAGACATGAGAGAGGAATACATGAAAAACTAATTCTCTATATTGTCATAAGAGTACATGCATTATCTCTATTTGTGACTCGTAGACAACAAGTGTTTTTGTTCATGTCTCATAACACAAGCTCTATTTTCTCGATTCTTTACTAAGAAGACGTTTATATCTCTATTTTTAAACGGAAAATTCAACTTCCACCATAAGGTCTGAATCTTCGTAGGAAAGCAAGCATATATTCCTTCTTTCTTCAGGGGGTTGGGGGCTGCGCAGACCGCCGCATTTGAAAACACAATGCTCGCATCATGGGTTTGGAAGGGATTCGTAAGCTTTGAAGCAGGCTTGCCGGCTAAAAAAAGCGGGGGGGTTGGGGGGGCGCAGCCCCCCCCCATTTGCAAACACAATGCTCGCATCATCATGGGTTTGGAAGGGATTCGTATGATTGAAGCAAGTTTGCCCGGCTAAAAAGCGCAGCCCCACCCCCCCCCCCTTTCAAGCGGGGGGGAATGCTCTCATGATGGGTTCGGAAAGGATTCATTTGCTTTGAAGCAAGCGGCATGGCTTTAAGAAGCGGGGGGGGTTGGGGGGGGCGCAGCCCCCCCCCCCTATTTGCAAACCCAATGCTGGCATGATAGGCTTGGACAGGATTCATATGCTGAGAAGCGACCTGGCACGGTTTTAAAGAGGGGGGGGGGGGGTCGGGCGGGGTGCAGCCCTCCACCGTTTGCAAACACAATGCTCGCATGATGGCCTTGGGAAGGATTCAGTGCTTTGAAAACGCTTGCACAGTTTAAAGGAGGGGGGGCGTTGGGGACGGGGTTGGGGAGGAAATTGCAAAACAAATGACCTGGGGGGTGGGGAGGAAAGGGGGGGGCGTTTTTTTTTTCTGCGGGTGCGGGGGTGCGTTTTTTTTTTTTGCGGGGCGGGGGCGCGTTTTTTTTTTTTGCTGCGGGTGCGGGGCGACACGCGCCAGGTCACTCACTCACCTGGGGGGTGGGGAGGAAGGGGGGGAGGGGGGGGGGGGGGTGCGTTTTTTTTTTTTTGCTGCGGGTGCGGGGGCGCCCTTTTTTTTTTGCTGCGGGTGCGGGGGCGAACACGCGCCAGGTCACTCACTCACCTGGGGGGTGGGGGCGCGTTTTTTTTTTGCTTGAGGGTGGGGGGCCGCGTTTTTTTTTTTTTTTTTGCTGCGGGTGCGGGGGCGCGTTTTTTTTTGTTGCTGCGGGTGCGGGGGCGCGTTTTTTTTTGCTGCGGGTGCGGGGGCGACACGCACCAGGTCACTCACTCACCGGGGCGGCCCCCGAAAAAAGCACCCACAGCAAAAAAGCACCCAGTGTAAACCCCAAACCCCAAACCCTAAAACCCTAAACCCTAAATCCTAAACCCTATAAGGCTACCGTATAAGCCGCTTGTTGCTGGTGCCTCCGTTCCATGGTCTTTACAGCATGGTCACTTCTGGGGAGTCGAAGGGAATGCGATTTGCAAATATTCAGGCTCCTGTGCCCCTAAAGCCTAAACCCTAAACCCTAAACCCTCAAACTGACTATCCCTAAACCCTAAACCCTGAACCCTAAGCCGTAAACCATCCAGGAGCCACTGGCGGACTTTCGCCTTCTGGAGCCTTGGGTGCAGGGGAGCTGGCGCGGCCGCGTCTTGCCTTCGGCGCGGCCTGCGAAGTTCTGGCTTCGAGGCGGAGTTTTAGGGTCTAGGGTTTAGGGTTCTAGGGTTTAGGGTTTGGGGTTTAGGGTTTAGGGTTTAGGGGTGCTTAGAAGGTTCTGGGGCTTTCGGGTTGAGAGTTTCGGGTTTAGGGTTTAGGGTTTGGGGTTTAGGGCTACTTGGGGTTTGGGGTTGTTTAGGGTTTAGGGTTGAGAGCGGAGGGCGAGGGCGGACGTCAGTCTCGGGATGCTTCTGGCTTAGAGTTCTTAGAAAAAGGTTCAGGGGATGGTTCAGGGTCTAGGGTTTAGGGTTTAGGGTTTAGGGTGTAGGGTTTAGGGTTTTGGGGTTTGGGGTTATACAGGCCGAGAAGAAGGGTTTAGGGTTTAGGGTCCCACCTTAAACCAACAAGGCCGAGAAGAAGACGTCTCCAACTCTAACACTAGTGGAACTGCTAGTTTTTTGGTTCTGCTATCGCCCTTTAAGCATGCTTTCAGCCTCGTAAGCGTCAGAAACCAAGTTCCCCAAACCAACCTCACTCTCCACTCCCACCCAACAGTACCTTTCAGCCCCAAAAGCCACCCCCCACCCCCCTAAACCCTAAACCCTAAACCCTAAACCCTAAACCCTAAACCCTAAACCCTAAACCCTAAACCCTAAACCCTAAACCCTAAACCCTAGAGCCCCTGACATGGGCGACAAGCGCCGCAGACCCCGCAAACGCCGAGAAGCTGTCGGTGATGCCATCGCGCTCCCCGACGCCGAGCTGCGTAGGCTCCCAGCCTGGGTTTAGGGTTTAGGGTTTAGGGTTTAGGGTTTAGGGTTTAGGGCTTAGGGTTTAGGGTTTAGGGTTTAGGGTTTAGGGTTTGGGGTTTAGGGTTTAGAGTTTAGCCTGGAGATTCCTTTGACTACAGCTGTTTGTGCTTTTTGACCTTCGACTTCAAACGCACGCAAATCAGCGCCAACGCCGCAAACCACAAACACCCGCAGAACGCCCGCAAAAAAACCAGCAAAACGCCCGCAAAAAGCCGCAAAACAACGCAATTATCCGCAAACGAAAACTAAGCGCCTAAAACTCCTAGAAAAAGCAAAACATCCACAACATGCAGAACATTTTAGTCGAACGAATCTCCAGGAGGGTTTAGGGTCTTAAACCCTAGGCCCAAAATTGATTGTTGGGCGTTACTTGCTAACTCTTAGAAAGAGGCACCCTATATCCCCCTTACATATACCCTTTAAGGGAGTATGTAGTGTACTAGTGTACCATATTCCCCTATTCCCTACTAAGAATCAGCGGTTTACGGTCTTAAGCCCACAGCCCTAAGCCCTAAGCCCCAAACCCCTAAGGCCTAAACCTAACCCCTAAACCACTCGAAAGCTTAGGATTTAGGGTTTGGGGCTTGGGGGTGTAGGATTTGGGGGGGGGGGGGGGGGAGGGGCGGAAATGTTTGTGTCCCAGGGTTTGGGGTGTAGCGCAGGATCGCAGACGTTCCGAACCCTTTGGGAAGTTCCATAGGGCCGTGCAAAAACTTAGCGGAAGTACCTTTGGTATTAAACAGGGTGGAAACTAAACCCGAAAACCGAAAAGCAGGATGGAAATGACTCTGAACACCTCCCTGCACCCTACTAGAACAACCTCAACACCCTAAACCTTGAAACCCCCAAGCCTAAATTCCCAAACCACAACAACCCCAAACCCTAATCTAACCTTGAAACATGGAAACTCAAAAACCCTACACCTGAAAGCCCACAACCCCAAAAACCCTAAACCTTGGGATGTTCCCCCGTATACTGGCAATCTTTATAGGGATTGTAACAGTTCCTGTTCAGGACTGCTAGTATACGCTAAACCCTAAACCCTGAACCCTGAACCCTGAACCCTACACCCAACACCCTAAACCCTAAACCCTAAACCCTAAACCCTAAACCCGAAACCCGAAACCCGAAACCCTAAACCCAACCTGAACCCCCACAAGCCCCGAAGCCCTGCTGAGCAGCCCGCGAGGAGACCGTGGACAAGGGCGGTAAGGCCAGCCACCAAGGGGAGGGGGGCTAGGGTTTAGGGGGGTTTAGGGTTTGGGGCTTAGGGTTTAGGGTTTAGGGTTTAGGGTTTAGGGAATAGGGGTTGTAAGGTTTAGGGGTTGTAGGGGTTGTAGGGGGTTGTAGGGGGTTGTAGGGGTTGTAGGGGTTGTAGGGGTTCTAGGGGTTCTAGGGGTTCTAGGGGTTCTAGGGGTTCTAGGGGTTCTAGGGGTTTAGGGTTCTAGGGTTTTTGGGTTTAGCGGTTGCAAGGTGAAGGGTTAGGACTTTGCATCTTCTCCCTTGTTGCGGAATGCTAGACATGATTGGCTTGATGAAGAGTATCTTAGCTTGGGTAAGCAAGCCACGATGCCTGACAAACTGCTTGTGCTGTGCTGGAACAGCAAAAGATGATGGGTGTGAGGCTTTTCTGCAATGGACCGACATGTATGAGATCATAGCTTTGAGAACCTGAGGAGCTGCTTCCAGTGCCAGGCTCTGCTCACAGCCTGTCATCGCCTGTTTGTTTCTTTCCCCTAGGTCCAATTCAACGCACTGGTTTAAATACACGGCAGAGGTGAATATGGGCATTCTGCGCGCGAGGGCCTTCACATTTCTGGTCACCTCCTAGGACGGTGACGGTGCGAGAGTAATGCAGTCTGATAAACGCAAGAAAGTGTGCAACCTCAAGACTATGCCAAATATAAACCCCAACCTACACATTCAGGATTCGAACCCCAAGACGGCCAGCATGCTCAGGGATCAGAACTCAACAAAGTGCGGGCAAACGCCCAGGCCTGAACCTAAAACACCCTAGCCCTGCTCCAAAAACATTGAAACGCGCAGCGCACCTTTCCTGAAAAACAACGTGCCTGAAGTGCTGTAGTTTCGTTCCTGACACGGCACCATATGGTCACTGCTCTAAACAATATGGTCCCTTTTGGGGTCCTTGGTATAAGGTGGCCCCTAGTGTTTAGGGTACCCAAAAAACCACAATGTTGAATAATTTTGAAAGTTGACAATACATAATTACATGCCTTCCCTATCAAACCTGTAAAGCCGATAAAGCCCTAAAAACAGAAAAAACTCCAACAAAAACCGTAATATCGAAAGAACACCTATTTTTTTACACATAAGAGACTAAAACTCCTACAGCCCTGAACCCAAGATCCTGTGAGCCCTAGAGCCCTAGAACCCTGAACCCAGAATCCTGAACAATAAAAACCCTAAACCGGGGCCTGCTTCTGCTCAGGCCCCGGGGCGTCCAGCGCGGCGCGCGCCGAAATCAAGGCTGCTGCCACTTCGGCCTCTGGCGCTTTAGGGTTTAGGGTTTCGGGTTTAGGGTTTAGGGTTCATCGAGTTCAGGGTTTAGGAGGTTTGGGGTTTCGGAGGTTAGGGGGTTCGGAGGTTAAGATGAGAAGGTTCAGGGCTTCGGGTTAGGGGTTTAGGGTTTGGGGTTTAGGGTTTAGGGTTTAGGGTTTAGGGTTTAGGGTTTAGGGTTTGGGGGACAGGAGTTTGGAGGCTTGGGGACTTTAGGGCTGCTTAGGGCTTCAGCGATAGGGCATGTTGAGTTGAGTACGGGTGTACGGCCCCACCTGCACAAGTGACAAGGCAGCCCTAAATAGAACCTCTTAAAATGCCTAAGTCACTGATAACCTAAACCCTAAACCCTAAACCCTAAACCCTGAACCCTAAACCCAAAACTCACTGTTGAGTCTCTTCTGGGAAGGGCATGGAATCGAGCCCGCGCTTCTCAGACGGATGGTATATCTACTTATCACGCAACGGGTGTGCACGCACGTCGTCGGTCGTAGATGGCGTTTAGGGTTTAGGGTTTAGGGTGTAGGGTTTAGGGTGTAGGGCTTAGGGCTTAGGAGCGACCATCACATTCTGATTGTCGTTTTCAGCCATGGGCGCAGATCCCCACAGAGGCGGTACTGCACCTCCCCTTTGCGCTTAAACCCTAAACCCTAAACACGAAACCCTAAACCCTAAACCCTAAACCCTGAACCCCAAACCCCGGACCCTAAACCCTAAACCCAAAACCCAAAACCCTAAACCCCAAAACCTAAACCCTAAACCCTAAACCCTGAACCCTAAAGCTGGTCTTGCAGATTCCGGTTGCAGGGTGTTTTGGCTTCGGGCTTTGGCCTAGCCAGCTCGTCTTGCTACACTCCCCTTGCTGTGCATTTAGGGTTTAGGGTTTAGGGTTTAGGGTTTAGGGTTTAGGGTTTAGGGTTTAGGGTTTAGGGTTTAGGGTTTAGGGTTTAGGTTTTCGGGTTTCGGGTTTAGGGTTTAGGGTTTAGCACAGCAGCAGACGTGTTAGTTGGACAGAAGGCTCAGGAGTCTTTTGGAAATCCGAGGTCAAATGCATCGCCTGGGGCCTGATCGCCCACAGACAGGCTATGTAAGCTAACCCTAAACCCTATACCCTAAACCCTAAACCGTGAGGTACTGGAAACCTAAACCCGCCTAAGCCCTGAATCAAAAAACCTCAAGGCCAAAACTCAAGCTTGACCTAAGCCAATGCCCCGAACCGCTTGCCACAGAGACTGAACCCCCAACGTACTTAGCATCCCAATCCACAAGCACCAGCAGCTTTCGAGGTTGGGGTTTAGGGTTTAGGGTTTTAGGGTTTCGGGTTTCGGGTTTCGGGTTTTATAAACCCCGAACGCTGAAACCGAAACCTTTAAAGCTTCTTAGGCACCGGGCCCCACCGGACGGGGCCAGCGCAGCGTAGTGGAGAGGCCACAGCCCTTAGCCACCCGCGCATCTTCTTAAGATTGGTGCAGGGTCTTGGGGGAGCTTAGGGTTTAGGGTTTAGGGTTTAGGGTTTAGGGTTTAGGGTTTAGGGTTTAGGGTTAGGGTTTAGGGTGTAGGGTTTCTCATACAGGTTTTAGGGTTTAAGCTTCGGGTCGGACATTGCAAATGGTGTAGTCCCGCGTGAAGTCTGCGTGAAATCACCCGTGCATCTTGCCAGGAGGCAGTGGAAAACATAGAAGTTGAAAGTGGAAAACATAGAAGCGAGTTTAGGGGAACCAAGGAAACTCATCAAAGATCCGTTGCAGAAGGATCAGCACCTGACAACTTTTAAATGTTCTGAACTTGACGACATTCTCGGATGTTTGCAGGCCCTGATTGATGGAAGCTTCAAGTTCGCAAATCGCAAATTAGTTCGCCCGACTGTTCTGGTCTATCTGCCTAGGTTTAGGGTTTAGGGTTTAGGGTTTGGGGTTTAGGGTTTAGGGTTTAGGGTTTTTTGGTTTGTGGCAGTTGGGCTCAACTTGCCCCTAGGGAGGCGACCGTTGGGGTTGGGGGGAGAAAACCGCACACCTCCAACCCGAAGGGCCTAAATCCTCAGCCCAACCCCTAGAACCGAAACCAAACTTGGTAGCCAAGTAACCACATCATGATAAGGGCACCCTGTTTTGGGTTGGTTACTTTGCGAGGGAAACCATAGACACAAAAAAAGGGTAGAGGGTACCACTGGCTACTGAGCAAACAGCCAGCGCTCAACCCTAAAAAACGAAAACCAAAGGGAGCCAGGAACTGCCCAGCACCCTGTGTAACGACCTAGAGCAATTTTCCAAGCAACCCTTAGCAACCATAGGCTCCTAAACTCCGAAACCCTTCAAATACTCGCAAACGTCGTAAACCCTAAGCTCCTGAGTTCTAGACTCCTAAACTCTTTCTCAGTCCTTTCCCTCTATGCCCAGCTGGGGATCTCTGTTTGCTTATGCACTACTGGGTGCCCTGGAATTCCCAAACCTTAGGGCCCAGACTTCTCACCTCCCACCCCGGAAGCCCTCAACCCCAGAAACTAACCTGGCAGAACGCCCCAAACCCGACCCCCAAACCCTAAGCCGCAAACCCTAAACCCTAAACCCTAAACCCCAAACCCTAAACCCTAAACCCTAAACCCTAAAATCATCCTAACTCCTAAACCCTAATTCCATGCAGTTGGAGCTTTTTTTCTCGCACGTTCGTCGGCACAGCAGGAGCAATGGAACCAGCGAGGCATGCCGAATAGGCACTTAGTAGGGCTTAGGCAAGGGTTTAGGGTTTAGGGTTCGAGGTTTAGGGTTTAGGATGAAGCCTTCGAACAAGATGTCAAACATCATCCGATTACGCACAACAGGGGAAACATGCAAACATGTCCCAAGGGCCTAGTCGAGGATCTTTTTCAGGGTTTAGGGTTGAGGGTTTTGGGTTTTAGGGCTTGCAGGTTTCAGGGTCTTGGGCTTTAGGGCTTCTGGGTTCTAGGTTTTGGCCAAAGGCTGGGCACTCCCCTGCGGCATCCGATGGGTCTTAGGTCTGAGCTGCCAAAAGCAGCCGGGTCCGCAACGGACAACACGGACAACAGGGCCTGTGCGCGAGAACCTCTTTAAGAGGAAGCTTCCCCAGAAGCCGGACCTCCCAGCGCAAGGAATAGCCTGTGCGGCGTTTCAGAGATCATACCTCCAAAGGCACATGAGGACTCTGACCTCTCTGGGATTGGGGGCGCGTCTGTTCAGCCATCCTTGGAAGTAGCTGCAACGCTTCATGCCCCAATCGCCGCAAAAAAGAGAAAACCACTGGACTGTGAAATTCATGCTCCAGGAGTCTCCTAAGAGCCACTTGGTTCCAGGATGGTCTTTGGCTGGAACATAGAAGCGTAAGCCTTCTTGGAGTCAAACCTTAGACCCAGGCGCCTAGGAGTAGAACCCCCAAATTTAGTACCCTCTACTAGTGGTTCATTTTTAGGAACCTGTAGGGGGATCTACTTTCTGGAGCCTTCCAGAGGTCACCCTAAGCCCTCAACCCTACACTCAAGGCCTAGGCCGCCCCCCGACAGTGTGTAAGCCCCTCGACCTCGAAGGTGCAAAAGCCAAATCAGGTCGTTCGCCCGCCTCCCACAGCTCTTGAAGAAAGGGGTACCCCCCAAGTTCCTGGACCCCCCGCCGCAGCGTGACCTCTGGCCGGGAGGCCTTCCCCATGAAACAGGCCTGGGACCCTCCTGGAAAACCCCCTCCTGCTCGGACCCCACATGCAACCTGACCCGGTTTGTGGCCGAGGCAACCCTGGCTCTCATGTGTTTGAAAGGCAATGGACTTGAGTTGAAGCCTAAACCCTATAAAGGCTGGCGGCCTCTTTGTCTGTTCCCCAAATACCTCAATATAGCCCCTAGGTACCCTAACAAGAGCCCCCTACAAAACAGAAACCCTATTTAAAGAGACCACCAATCAGTATAGCCTAAACCCCAAAAGGCATAGGCTTGGGTGGCTTTGCGGCCTTGGACGGCGGGGGGTGCCAGATGGCCCTCCACAATCGGGCCAGCGCTGCCCTTCGCACCGAACCAAGCCGTCGAGCCTCTTCTGACCCGCGCTGCATTCCAGCAAACCCTAAATCCGAAACCCTAAACCCTAAAACCCTAAAACCCTAAAACCCTAAAACCCTAAAACCCTAAAGCCCTAAAACCCTAAAACCCTAAAACCCTAAAACCCTAAAACCCTAAAACCCTAAAACCCTAAAACCCTAAAACCCTAAAACCCTAAAACCCTAAAACCCTAAAAACCCAAAACCCTAAAACCCCAAAACCCCAAAACCCTAAAACCCCAAAACCCTGAAACCCTGAAACCCTAAAACCCTAAAACCCTAAAACCCCAAAACCCTAAAACCCCAAAACCCTAAAACCCCAAAGCCCTAAAACCTACAAGCCGACCCCGGAGCCTGGGCAGCTGAGAGCCTCGCTGGAGCTTCAGGTGGCAATGGGGCTTAGGGTTTAGGGCTTAGGGTTTAGGGTGTAGGGTTTAGGGTTTAGGGTTTAGGGTTTAGGGTTTGGGGTTTAGGGTTTGGGGTTTAGGGTTTAGGGTTTAGGTTTTAGGGTTTAGGGTTTAGGGTTTAGGGTTTAGGGTTTTGATCACGCCCATTGGCACCCGTGGCATCAGCGCCACTTGCCAGACCCCTGGGGAGAATCCAACAAATAGATCCCCTTAAGGGTTCCGAAAAAATGGCCCGATAGTAGTATATCCAAGAAACAGATCCCCTTAAGTTCCGAAGGAAGGACCCCAATAGTAGTAGAGGGTACTATTTGGGGGTTCTATGTCTTGGATCCTCCCAGGTGTCTGGGTTCATCATCTCCCTGAAGGGTCCATGTACCTGTAGAGTATATACTTAAGGCCGAAAGCTACTACAGGAACCACAGGGCCAAGCATAAACTATACTACACGGACCCCTAGAGATTTCAAACGCCATCGCTGCTTACAGCTTGACGTGAATCAGAGTGGTCTCTTCAAGCTCGGCGGGATGGATCTTCAAGGCACGCGTGCTCGCCCGCGTGGGAACGCTCTGCTGCCACAAAGCTGCTGCCAAAGCCGCAAGGGAGTTGGGGTCGCCCATCTCTACGAATGCGTACCCCTTGCACTTCGACTGTCGTGTCTTTGGCATCTCAAGCACGTAGTCAGCCTTAGAAGCCCAGCAACCATATTGCAATAAGGGCACCCTTTTTTGGGGTTGCTTACTTTATAAGGGAACCCAGAACCAAAAAAAAGTGAAGGCTACCAAGCAGCGGTTGTCATGGAGTCAAGGAAGAGGCGAAATTCCGGTTCTGTACCTAATTCATTGTTGGGATACTTTTAAAAATGTAAACATTCGTACTCCTTATTGGGTTTTAAGTACCCTTAAAAATGTAAATTATCATTCCTTATTGGGTTTAAGTACCCTTAAAAATGTAAAATGCTACCCAAGGATGACAAAGGCACAGCGTGCCGGGACGTTGCGGATCATCATCTTCCGGGAATTGAGCCAGCGCAAGCTGTCTGGGTGCAAGCCGAAAGAGTCCACCCCTCAGTTGGCAGATGAGTAGAAACCGGTTTTCGAAACTCAGCGCTACCCAAACCCTAAACCCTGAACCCTAAACCCTAAACCCATCAGGGAATTATTCTTCCTTGCGAATCACAGAAGTCAACTATCACATCTTCAGAACGGGAAAGGGCGCGCAAGTATCTGGGTGCAGTCGCGCGGCATAAACTGCCCATCACCATGTGAGAGGCCTCGAGAGGTCGAGCGCCGGCTGTAGCGTGTTTTGGGACCAAGGAAGAATAATTCCCTGATGGGGTTCAGGGTTTGGGGTTTAGGGTTTAGGGTGTAGGGTTTAGGGTTTAGGGTTTAGGGTGTAGGGTTTAGGGTTTAGGGTTTAGGGGGATTAAGCTGTTTGGGCATTCTCCCTAGCAGTATCATGCCGATGTTCCGCAACAGCGGCAATCAAGGGACTAGAGGAGGGACCGTTCCAAGGGACCTTAGGGGGTTCGTTAGAGGCCACTCAAGTACAAAGGGACTGTACCTTTATGTATAGGGGCTTTAAATGGGGAATAAGATTGAGGGTCCCTTCCAGGGGTCCCTCCTTATACCCCTTGAGCCAAAGAACAAGCCTTAACTCCATGGTTACCTCCCTTCTGCAAGATCAGAGTGGCACGGTATTGTTGACTCAACTACTACACAGTACTTCCCTTCTTCTCCCTTGAATCTAGGGCTCGGAAACTAACTAAACCCAAAACCCCTAGAACCCTACAACCCTAAAACCGAAAAACCGGAAACCCAAAAGACCCTAAGCCCAGAACCCTTAAAACCCTAAAACCCTGAACCCTCCCTGAGAAGCCCCTCTGGGCAACCTTAAGGTAACGCAAGGCCTAAACCCTAAACCCTAAACCCTAAACCCTAAACCCTAAACCCTAAACCCTAAACCCTAAACCCTAAACCCTAAACCCTAAACCCTTAAGGGAATCGTAACCCCAAGGTCGGCGAGGTGCCTCGTAAAGACTGCGCGCGCTCTCTGTCGAGAGCCACATGTCCTGAAGTCCTCGAGAGGGGAGATTCTAACAGGGTTTAGGGTTTAGGGTTTAGGGTTTAGGGTTTGCGGTTTAGGGTTTAGGGTTTAGGGTTTAGGGTTAAATTCTAGGATGAAGGGTTTCCACAGTACGAATTGCTGAAGAACCCCCCCCCCCCCTCGCCCCCCCCCCCCCCCCCCCCCCCCCCAAAAAAAAGAAAGAAAGAATTCTGCACTATAAGGAGAATCGGGATTCTTCTTTTTTGTTTGTGTTCTTTTTCGGGGGGGGAGGGGGGGGTTCCTTAATTAAGCAAATAGTAGGGTTAGGGTGTCTAGGGTGTTGAGGCAGGGACGCCTTTGTTTCCAGATGTTCAGAGGGTTCAGGTTCGGAAGACAAACCACCACAACACCACATGGGAAGTCGTGAGACACGTTTGCTGTGCAGAAAATAACGCCATACCTAAACCCTAAACCCCAAACCCCAAACCCTCAACCCTAAACCAGTAGCTTCGGCCAGCTGCTGGCCCAAGAAAGATAGTGGGAGCGAAGACGCGGAATAACCCTGAACCCTAAACCCTAAACCCTAAACCCTAAACCCTGAACCCACAAAGCCCTGAACTCGGGATATTGCCCCTTATACTAACATCTGTAATCGGGATTACAGTACCCCCTAGAGTATGTTCCCTATTAAGGGCTGGTATAGGGGGGAACATCCGAACCCCGAACCATGAAGGATTCAATAGTTTTTGGTCTAAGGTTTACAGGGGCTCAGTTTTGAGCCCTTCCTGCTTCTGTAAGCAGAAGCCCAAGGGTAAGGATCCGCAACGTTGTCCGGTGAGAGCCCTAAACCCTAAACCCTAAACCCTAAACCCTAAACCCTAAACCCTAAACCCTAAACCCTAAACCCTAAACCCTAAACCCTAAACCCTAAACCCTAAACCCTAAACCCTAAACCCTAAACCCTAAACCCTAAACCCTAATACCCTAAACCCTAAACCCTAAACCCTAAACCCTAAACCCTAAACCCTAAACCCTAAACCCTAAACCCTAAACCCCAAACCCTAAACCCTAAACCCTAAACCCTAAACCCTAAACCCTAAACCCTAAACCCTAACCTAATCATCCGGAGTCCCGGAAGCCACGACCTCTAATCGAATCCTAGCGCCTGAATTCGACATGGGGAACGTGCCGTGGGGAAATCTAAGGCCCTTCTGAAGCCTAAGCCCGCCAATAAGCCCTAAATACCCTAAACCCTAAACCCTAAACCCTCAACCCTAAACCCTAAACCCTAAACCCTAAACCCTAAACCCTAAACCCTAAACCCAAACCTGAAGACATGTAAACCTCAAACTAAACCCTAGACCGCCTAGCCCTCAAAACCAAACCTGAACCCTAAAACTTACAAAGCTTGGGTTGCAGGCATGGAAACCCTACATCCTAAGCCCTAAGCCCTAAACCCTAAACCCTCAACCTTCAACCCTAAACCCTAAGCCCTAAACCCCAAACCCTGAACCCTAAACCTTCATTACCCTACACCCTACACCCTAAACCCTAAACCCCAAACCCTAAACCCCAAACCCTAAACCCTAAACCCTAAACCGCAAACCCTAAACCCTAAACCCTAAACCCTAAACCCCTGCAGGCCTGGGGGAGGAGCCACTGTCTCCACAGCCGCCGGGCACCAGAATTTGGTCGCCGGCATGGCTACCAAGTCTCGGTCCTAGGTTTAGGTGCGCACACTTCGTAGCCCAGTGGCGATATTGCAATAGGGGTACCCTTTCTTGGGTTTAGGGTTTCGGTTTTAGGGCCCAGGGTTTATTAGGGATACTTTACAAGGGAACCTAGAAACAAAAAACAGGCAAAAGGGTTTCACTGGACTACCAAGCATGTGAAGCTTGGTGCGTGATGTTGACCTTTTGGTCCATGGGAAAACCCTAAACAAGATCAATATCTCTCCCTGTACAGTGTGAAAAGATTCTCGACCCTAAGCCTTTTAAGGTTTAGGGTTTAGGGTTTCTGGGTTCAGGCTTAGGGTTTGGGGGTTAGGGTTTAGGGTTTGGGTTTGGGGTTCATGGTTTGGGGTTTGGGATTTGGGATTTAGGGTTCGCTGTACAGTGTAAACAGATTCCAGAGGTTGATCGCTTGTTCGCCTTGGTGTTTTTTAATTGAAGTGACAAACCTCTGCGGCCGAGCCATAGACAAAACATCGAGCCTGTGAGCTTCGCTGGCCAGTCATGGCCTTAAACTTCAACAGTTTGGGTCAGGGATCGGATTGATTCTAAACCCTAAACCCTAAACCCTAAACCCTAAACCCTAAACCCTAAACCCTAAACCCTAAACCCTAAACCCTAAACCCTAAACCCTAAACCCTAAAGTGTCAGGAGAGCCTGCTGCCAAGCCACGAAACCATATGCAGCCCAGGCCATGGATAAACGCGCTTATTGCTTCCTCCGGAAGAGGACAAACGCAAAAACTCCTCGCTCGACTTCTTGGGCCACGCGTGGGGCAAAGCGGTGCTGCCTCAGCCTCCCCTGCATGCTCCTAAACCCTAAACCCTAAACCCTAAACCCTAAACCCTAAACCCTAAACCCTAAACCCTAAACCCTAAACCGTGGGTCTGCGTGCGTGTCGCTTCCGTAGTAAAGCCGACCCGTAAAGCCTGACCACGGCCCACTTAGAAAGAATGAGGCTTGCCGTTGTGAGGACATCAGCTGCAGGGTCAGGTCAGCAGAACCAACAGACCTCGTTGGTGTAGGATTTAGGGTTTAGGGTTTCGGGTTTAGGGTTTTGGGGTTCAGGGTTTTTGGGTCTAGGGTTGCCCTAAAACCTTAACCCCAAACCCCAAACCCTCAACCCAGACCCCTGGGAGGATCCAAAAAAAGAACCCCCAAATAGTACCCTATGCTACTATTGGGTGATTTTTTGGAACCCTTATCTAAGGGGATCCACCCTAACCTCTACTCCCCTTAGAACCTTAATAAAAATCATGTTTATTTAATAGCCTCTTGGGTTTTATATAAACTCAAAAATAAAAAAACAATTGCCAAGGGGGATATAGTAACTCAATGCAGCTGGAGGGCCCTAAACCCTAAACCCTAAACCCTAAACCCTAAACCGTAAACCCTAAACTCTAAACTCTAAACCCTAAATAACCCTAAATAACCCTAAATAACCCTAAATAACCCTAAATAACCCTAAATAACCCTAAACCCTAAACCCTAAACCCTAAACCCTAAACCCTAAACCCTAAACCCTAAATAACCCTAAACCCTAAACCCTAAAAAACCCTAAACCCGAAACCCCAAACCGTAAAACCTAAACCCTAAACCCTATACCCTGAACCCTAAACCCTAAACCGTAAACCCTAAACCCTAAACCCTAAACCCTAAACCCTAAACCCTTTCTTTTGTCTCACGTCCGCCGGGACAGCAGGAGCAGTGAAAACCAGCGGGGCGTGCCAGAATAGGCACTTTAGGTGCAGGCCTGGCCCTCTCGAAGCCTCTGAAGAAGGTTTAGGGTTTAGGGTCTAGGGTTTAGAGTTTAGGGTTTAGGGTTTGGCCTTAAGGGTCCATGTAGTCTATATAGGTATATACTTGGCCCAAACAACTACTCTAGAGGAAGCCCTGAAACCACACAGGCACATGGATCCTTAAAGTTTTTCAAGCAGCCCAGCTATAAGCATCTTGTTTAGGGTTTAGGGTTTAGGGTTTAGGGTTTAGGGTTTTAGGGTTTAGGGTTTAGGGTTTAGGGTTTAGGGTTTAGGGATTTAAGGCTTCAGGGCTGCTGGGCTTCGGCCCTCCCCGGTTCTACGTCTAGGCCCACAGCTGGGCACTCCCCTGCAACATGCGATCTTGGTAGCCCAGTAGCCATAAACCCTAAACCCTAAACCCTAAACCCTAAACCCTAAACCCTAAACCCTAAACCCTAAACCCTAGACAAAAAAGTGCACCTCTTCTTTTTGGGT